TAGAAGTGTTCTTTGGATGTTTGGTTCCTTTCACCACGACTACGAACAACTCCGAGTTTGTAAGTCTCTCCAGAACAGAGAATTTCACAACAAATCACTCTGAATGACTTTGTTCACATCTCAGTGATTGAGCTATACAGAAATTTTGAACAATTTGTGTAATTCCCTTAAAAACAGGCATCTCACTGTCATTGACAATGACTTAAATTTGTGAGAGATTCTGTCATCTGTACTGGTATTATCAGCACCATCTCAAACAAGGTGAAAAAAAGAGAGAACATTTCTTTATGGGCTCTTGGACAAACCTTCAGAGTCTTCTCAGCCTTACACTTACACAAACTGATTCAAGCTCCCATGTCTCTAATCCTCATCATCCATCATTCCTCTCTTCCTGCTCGCTCTCACCCTCTTTCACTTTATCCATTTTTTCACTGCATCTGTCCAAGTCTCGGGCTTGATTTATCTGTTTATTCACTTTTTAGAATGGCCATAATTTGCGCTATAAATCCAAAGACAGTCTTATTGTACCAGCAGCAAGCTGCAGAACATACATAAATTGCAGAGAGTAATGACACAGTACATCAGGAGCAGGTGGTGATAAGAGAAGGGGGAGAAAGACAAATGTAAGAGGGGAAAGACGTGGAAAGCAATGCCTAAAGCTATAATAAGCAGAGTTCTACATTAAAAGCTGACAAGGAATATAAAAAACAGGAAATCCTTCATAACAGGTAAGGTAGTGAGTGATTGAACTTAAGTCTCAGTGTTGTCTTTAAAGTGATGGTTCAAGCCAGAAATCCAATTACACAGATCCTTTTACTTAGCACTGTAGCTGTGAGCCTAAATAGCTAGTAATGGAAGTTTATATCTACCAGTTTAGCCCCTCTTATCCATCACATAAGCAAGCTTACATAAGAGCACTTAACATCTTGACATGGTTTGATATGAGTGTCGTAAGAGTTTGCACAATGATACTGGTGGCTGTAAGCTTCTATTACTTAGCTACATTAGCCTTGTAGCTCCAGAGCTAAACTAAAGAAACAAACTTCAAACAAAAAACATGCAAAGAGGAAACTTATGACAGCTTTAATCTGGGACAGTGCCTGTTTTTTCCCACAGTGGCAGGAGTGACACTCCTGTGGGAACAGTAGCCCAAAAGTCCTGGGTTTGATCACAGCTGATGACTGTGCTGCTGTGCCTGTGAGCAAGCTAATTAAACCCAATCTGCTCCAGCGTGGCTGTCACTGCAGCTGATGAATGCATCAGCGACATGACAAAAAGCAGAACACAATCATCAGCCCTAGTTAAATAAACCTTGTTCCATAAAATAATACATAAAATAGAATATAAATAGTGTAGAGTGTCAAGGACTGTCTAGCTCCAGCAAAATTCCTCATCCTCCAATCTTTCACCGCAAACACTCATACACATTTACAAATCCCACAGGATTAACTTTTAATGTAAGTTAATTGGTAATTTTTGTGTATTTCTATTGGTCTATTCATCATCACAATTGCACACAGTGTAAAGAACAGCTGCTGTGTTCAAATGACATAGAAACATAGACAGCGATGATATCTACACGTAATAATAATATATCCCACATATATATTATGCACAAGCATAAAGCATAAAGAAGGGTCAAATATAGTGCCATAAATAAATAAATGTGTACATATATACACAAGTACACGAGCTGACATGAAAAAAATAAAAATGCCATAAATACATTTTTCCTAATTTGCACCTTCGAACCATCCATAACTCCAGCCTGAAGCCCAGTTGCTCCTGTGCTGTTGCTATGACTTCATGCTTGTGGGCCTCTCAGTAATGTCAGAAACTTTAGCACTGGAGAACGGCTTAAGTGGGCTATGCTGGATAGTTCTCGTGGGAGTCTTATGGATAAATCAACCAGCAGCAAACTCACAAAAGAAATAGCAAAGCAGAAAACTCCAGTTCCCCTCGAAACAAGGCGTAACAGTGTTATGAGAGCAAGAGGCTTCAACCGTAAAAGTACCTGTATGTAACAATAATAATGACCAATATATTGTATACCAGACAATATATGTATATGTATGATATGTATGAGTTTTCTAAGGCTAACCCTAAGGGTGCGTTTATATTTGCAGTTTGGTTTCCTTGGTCTCAACCAAAGCAGAAACAGATACATTGTTCTAGCGTTGCTGACATTCACACAGAACCAAAACAAGTCATGTGGACAGGGGGTCTCAGTCTGCTTATTTGGTGAGTGGACTGAGCATTGGCACATGCACATGGCAGTGTTTTCTCTTGTTCTAACAATCTGTACTAACAGACCAACGGCACTAGGAATTGTTTTATTGAGCCAAAGCTACCAAGTGTGGACACACCCTAAATCCTTACATCTAATATCAGAAACAAAGTGGAAATATTTCTGTGATTCTAAAAAACAGACTTTGTAGTGGAAACAATTATTTTATACAGTGAGGATCAATGATCCTGTAGGTTAGTCCTGTTGTTCACTGGTTTTCTTAGAAGGTGGGACTAACTGCCACGAAAATGTACCAAAACAAATACAGAAACACACACACACACACACAGAGCTGTTCTGAGCCGATGATCCAGACAGAGATGGGAGCACTGCGCAGTAAGGCGGAGAGTTAGCCGTCAGTGCTCCTGAGGTAAGCAGGGTAAGAACAGCCCTCTGGACGGACTCCTAAAGTGCCCTGCTGTCTCAGACAGAATTAAAACAGTGAACCATGAATCTCTCTCAACCTCTGTCACTTAAAACCCTCCATTTGAGTGAAATGACTGTGGGATGAGGTCAACTGAGCCAGAGATAACACAGCCCTTATGATCCTGTCCTACTCATGAACCACACAACTTCAGACTGGAGCAAAAAAAGACTTCAGCGCAAATTCAAATCATAATTTAACCTCTTAAACCCTAAACTTATTATTCAGATAATGGTCTTAAGATAATACTTAAGAATATAGTAACTACTATAATTTATTTGCCAACTACTCTTTGTGAGTTCAGACCATGCCTTCAACATGTGATGGTAGTATGAGAAAAGACTGATTGAGGGAGGGGGAGAACTCTGAGAACTTGGGCTGGAGTTCTGGGCAGCTTCTGCCTGTAGTAGGACTGATGTAGGACTGAGGAATAAGGAGGAGATGGGGTGGTGGTGGGGACTGTGAACGCTTTGTCACGGGAACAGAGGGTGAAGATGTGAATTTATAGGGTGTTTCAGCCATGTTCCTCCCCCCAAACTTCAGTTATAACATAACTACATTGTAATGTATATACAGCCCCTAGGCTTTAAGAGAGTTAAAGCACTTAATTATATTTATAGGTTTAAATGACATTAATATGCTTTAGATAACTGCTGGACATTTATGTGAGATACAGTAGATATAGCGATGTACATAATGACACTTCAACTGTCATATCAAGAACATGTAGAATGGACCAATAGAAACGCTCCCAAATTACCAAAATTACCTGGAATCTCTTTACATTAAGATACATGAAAGTTAAAGGGGAATTCCATCTTTTTTTTGCACAATTACTGCATAATTCAGTTGCTGACAGTGAATTATGCAGTCACAGATCATTCAAAGTGGTTTCATTTAAAACGGTTAACCCTGCTTTCTTTACAGTGGTGGTGACAGGAACCAGGAGTTGTGGGGAACACAAATACAACTATTTTATTTACTACCCAAAATAACCAGAGAACCTATAGGAGTTTTATATGTGGTGTTGATGATGGTAAAGTAGTGGTAATTCTGGGGGGGGGGTTCTTTGGGGACTATTTTGCCTCACAAGACTCTGCATGTACACAATATGGACAAATGCATTGGGACACCCCTCCTAATTTGTGAGTTCAGGTGTTTCAGCCACACCCATTGCTAACAGGTGGATAAAACTAAGCACATAGCCTTGCAGCATCTGGCAGTCTGATGGACAAATCTGGGTTGGGTGAATGCCAGGAGAACGTTACCTTCCTGCATTGTGCCAACTGTAAGGTTTGTTGGGGGGGGATAATGCTATGAGGTTGTATTTCGGAGGTTGACCTAGACCTCTTAGTTCCAGTGAAGGGAAGTCTTAATGCTTCAGCAGACCAAGACATTTTGGACACTTCCATGCGTCCAAAGCTTTCCGGAGGAGTGGAAGCTGTTACAGCTGCAAAGGGGGACCAACTCCGTATTAATGCCTTTAGATTTAGAATGGGATGCCATAAAAGATCCTGTGGGTGTAATATGTAGGTGTCCCAATACTTTTGTCCATATGTGTATCTCTCCACCTTAAATGTATGTTGAAAATGTGTTTTAGGCCAAAACCTCATCTCAAAACTATCATGAAACCAATGTCTCAGAAATCAGGCAGCATTTTTGTAACCATTTTGTGTAATAACCTCCTGTGAGGAAGCTTTCAGAGGCATTAAACGTTTCAGATGTCTGGTTTCTATCACCACTTCTGAGTCGATTTATCTAGAATGGCCCATTTTACATCACACAACTCTGAATGACTTTGCATCTTAACGACTTAATTATGTAGATATTTTGAAAAAATCAATGGAATTTCTTTCAAGAGCATTTTTCCTCATCCTGTAAAGTTTTGTTTTTGTTATGACAGCAACAATACAAAGATTCAGAAACATGACTCACTCTCCTGAAAAAGCCAAACAAGAACACCATGCATCCTCTACTGGGGACTGCGTGACGTGTTTTCTCAAACAAGCTTACAATATTTCTTATTTTCTCAAAGCTCCCACTTCTTCTACTTCTTGAGTGACAAACAAGGCTGCCAGAGGGCAATGTTTACAGGAATACAGATGGGGAGCCCACCAGCACACGGCTTAACAAGCACTTCTGCAAAAAAATAAGGCCGATCCTGCACTTTCCCAAACACACACAATCCGCACGGGCAAACAAACACACACACACACACACACACACACACATACAGATATCCATCCATCTCCACCAAGCTGACTCTCCATCCGCAGGCTGTGGACTCACCCAGTCAGGACGACCACGAAGTCCATTACATTCCAGCCGTTGCGGAGGTAGGAGCCTTTGTGAAAGACAAAGCCCAAGGCGATGATCTTAATGCCGGCCTCGAAACAGAATATTCCGATAAAGTAGGGCTCTGTGTCGTCCTGCCAAGAGAAAGGGGGAGTGAAAGGAGGTATGAGGTTTTTTTGTTCGAAGGAAAAGAGAGAAATTAATGAAGCATGGAAGGAGAAATGGAGAGAGAGAGAGTAAAAGGGAGGTGAAAGAGAGCAGCTCCTTTTTACTGTAGCCTGGGTTAAAGAACATTCACTTACTCTGATGAGAAATAGTTAAACATATAATAAACAAAGCACTGCAGTAAATGTACTTTATTTAAAATATCTCTATGTGAATAAGCTACATTACACCAACATGATTACCACCTTAATTACTGCTGATATAGGTTTATTCATCTGAAAGTGTATGTACAGTACTGTGCAAAAGTCAGGGACCACCCTTCATTTATTCAATTTCCAGTCAAAATGGCCAATAAGTACAACACATGATTTTTTTAGGATATATTACTGAGGAGATTAGATATAAGATAAGCCACATTCATAAGGAAGAGGTAAGTCAAGGGAAAGTAAGTGTAGAGACATGAGTTTCTAAAACTGGAGTTTAAAAAATGATTAAAAGATACAGAGAAAATGGGACTCCTAACAACCATGCAAGACCTGGTAGACCATCAACACTGTCACCGTCAGATAAACAGCACTTAAAGCTTTTATCTTTGAGAGAGAGGAGAAAATCAACCTGCTTCAGATCTGAAAAAATCCACAGGCATGACAACTCAGTGCTATGAGTCTGAAAGGATGTGTAGCTGTCAAGAAACCATTACTGAGAAAAAGAAATAGACAAAAAAGGAGAACATCTACAAATTAAAAAAGCTGCTGGGGTTCTCAAAACCATAGGCTGACCACCCCAGAGTCCAGACCTCAACATCACTGAATGTGTTTGGGATTATTTGGATTGTGAGAGGCAGAAAATGCAACCAACTTCTAAGATTGAGCTTTGGAGGTGTGGAAAAATATCCCAGCAGACTTCTTTGAAAAACTGAAAGCAAGCATCCTGAAAAGAATAGAAGCTGTAATGCAGGCAGATGGTGAACACATTAAAGAGTAACTACACCCTAAGACCTTTTTTCATTGACAGCTGACATGCATTGCTCTGTAATAATAAACATACACCAGCCTTGCTTGAAATGTGAACACATCTTTCCAAACTGTAAAAATAACACTTTTATCGTGGTCAGTTCCGCCTCTGCAGCGCCCCTCTGGTTCAACTCTGCTATAGGATGACGTGTCTTTGTACCAAAGTATGATGACACATCACAGTATGCAAATCAGTCAATGAACATTACCGTCCCCTGATGATGCCCTACTTGAAGATGGGGATGGAAGTACAGAAAAATCTTTAACCTCTGAAAACCTCGAAGTTGCAAAAGTGCTGTTTGATTCTGTCGCTCTCCATATTTTCTGGTAGTTAACATTAGCTATAAACACAGCAGCCCAGCCCCACTTCCAAACCCGCAGATCACTGCAGTGCCCTTCCCATTTCTGAGCATTTTTCAAAGTTGAGCCAGGGGTGGAGTTAGCTGAAAATAGTGGGGTGTAGTTAGTCTTTAAATACTGAAAAAATGTATTTAGTTGTTGAGGCTTCTGTGTAACTTTCTGCTAAATATGTTTTCTGCTTTTTTCCTGATGCTGAAACTTCTCGTGGCCTTTGATTTTTGTGCAGTACTATACATATTTGAATCAAGTAAATTCAATGCATTACAATTTTCAGCGTACAAAAGCTGTCCACCGGAAAAAGCCAATATATTACAAGTTAAAAGTGAAGTGGTACCCAGTGGCGTGAACGAATCGGTTTTGGAAAATCATAACAAACGAAAGCCAAAGCTCTTTACAGACAGCTTCACCTTCAGAAGTAAAAATTGAATTTGGAGCAACACAAAATTACAGTGTTTCCCGAAGAAATTCACTCTGAAACTTGTTGAATCCAAGAAGAGGTTGTACAATAGATAAGATCACCTCTCTGTAAATCGCTTTTATAGAGCTCCTGTACTGCTCTGAGCACACGGCACACTGCTTTTGAAATCGCACCCATTAATATCCCCAATGCCCCAGGGCACCTGGAGCACTCACACCAATCTGACCTCCCTCTCGCCCCTCCTGAACACGTCATACTCCTCTCAGGAAGCTAAATTTAAAGCTTCCTTACAAACTAGGACTTCTAACATCCTTTACAGTGGAATACTAATCTGGGACTCTTGCATTAGTCAGTCTTAGACAGCAGTGAGATTTGAAGGTGTGTTTATGCTGATGCTATTTAAATGATTATATAGCTTCTATATGAACTCTTCAGCCCTCAAACCATGAGTTGCATAATCCTCAGACATTGTCTCGGACCAGAAGAATGCATATCATGAGCTTTCCAGAGGAAAATGGATTTTAAAGCCTGAAACGATACAGAGAGGACACAGCAGGGTGCACATTCAAAGATCTTTTCACATTATAGCAAATAAAGCACATGTTTAGACATGCTTGACTGTAGCACTTGAATCTGATTTGATTTTGTTCCTTAACCTGATCAGATTTATATGTTTACATATGTAATCTGTGACCAGCTGCTGAAATAACTGCATTAGTATATGCAGTGGGCCTAAATGAGATTGGAAAAGAACAGATATTCTCTTAGCAGAAAGGGTTCTAAATAATAGGCCTACACTCCTTAAAAAGATGGTTTCTTAAGGGTTCTTTAGTAAAGAACATGGTTCTAAAAATAACCAGGGCTCTTCAGATTGAATGTGTTGTGTATGGTTCTATGTAGAACCTTTTTGAAAAGGGTTCTATTTAGCCAAAAAGCGTTCTTCTATTGTCATGATGTGAAGCTTGTAATAACAGAAGGACCCCTACATAGCACCATACACAACACATTGTCCATCAATCTGAAGAACTTTTTAACCATGCATCGAACCATTTATGCATTCAAATGGTTCTTAGAACGTTCATCGTTATGTAACCATTGCTTTTACTAAAGAACCTTTGAAGAACCTTCTTTTATAATTTAAAACTCAGAAGCATCGTGTCAGATTTCATGGGTGTTTTTCAGACTTTGTCATACACCTTAACGTCACTCGCACAGATTTAAAAAGAACCTCCAGGTCAATGTTTAGGTCTCAAAGGCAAAATCAACATTATACTGATGAAGATATGATGACAATAGTAGATAATTCTCTGATTTGACTAGTTTACTAGTTTTGAGTTCTCTCTGCATGCTCTTTCAGCTCGCTCACAATCATCAGATTCATCTGCTCAGGGAAAAGGCCTGAAACACAACCAACGCTACTAAATGTTCTTCCGCACATTGCACAATTACACATTTCCACCATAGAGGTCTCCAAATCCCCAAAACATAATGTGGCTTTCACAATCACAGTTCAGTCTGAAGACCTTTGCAGATGAAATTTATTTGAGGCTGCAAATTCTGTGGCTTAAGAAAAGACAAAGCTTCTGAATACTAAATAGCTAAACAAAAGTCAAAGTAATGAGCAAATACCATACTAAAACCCTGTGTATCTGCCAATACTGATTGAATATATTTCCTTTAAAAACTACTAAACTTTAAAATTAGCTATTTTTAATTGAAGCACTTCACTTAAGACGAGCATCTGAAAGTAGGCTAGCAGGCTCAAACCACTCAAACACTGTACTACCCCATAGGAAAAAATACACAGCTAGCTACATCGCATATACAGTGTGAGAGAATGCTATTTCAGGACAGATTTGTTACAGGATTAGATCTGATTCATTCTATTTTCCTATCTGATATCCAATCAAGTATATTCTGGTCTGATACAGATACCCATCAATACATCTCTCTAGGTAGAAATATATTGAGTGTACTGAAGATCAAAATCAGCTAAGTAGGGGTGGGCAACATGACGATATTGTATTGCTATTGTGATCGTTTTTGCTATCGTGATATACAATATGCATTTCTCAGCATACTGTGGATATAGTCCAACTGCATTTCACTATAAAGAGAACAATCAGTCTTGTTTAAAGGGTTTAGTGCAATGCAGTATATGAAATATTATTTAATAATCACTGTATTCATAGTTTTTGAGTTTTTAAATGTGACACTACTAGTGCATTTTATGTTTCATTGGGAAAATTTCGTATCATGATACAATCATTTTCCCATATTGGCCATACCTACAGCTAACTACCATCACAAATGCAGCTAAATTGAGTCATATTTCAAAAAATCCAATACTGAAAGTGATTATACACATTTGTCTGGCAGGCTGTCCATCTCTGGAAAAGTCCTAAAATTTCCCTCAAAAAGATTTCAGTAAAAACTCTGCAAGAGCAGAAATGAAGTCGATCCATCAAAACCTGAACAAAAAGCCTTGCATAACGACTGATTACCAAGCATAAGGGGCTGTGGGTGGAGGAGAGAGGGTTATAGGAACGATGGTGTGGATGGTATACCACTATCTATTATGTATAGAGCAATGTGATGATTAATTATAAATACTTCAAAGTCTGTAGAGTTTCGACATACGTGTGTAGAGGGAAATCTAGCAGGGGATTAAACTGTAAATATCAAGTGGAAACTGCATCAAGGAGTTTGACACTGTAGAAACAGTACAGTGACACTGGCGTTATAATGGATTCCTCCTACAGTAATCGTTTTTCGCTCTGTGTTAAGTACCTTTTGTTTGCTTGTTGGCGTGTGGAGTTGCCGATGGCAGGACACAGCGCTTTGGCTAATTGGGAACAGGAGCAGGTGGCCGTGTTTGAGAGGATGTCATTGACCTTATCTGAGCTACAAGACTCTCTCCCTGCCTCGTGCTCTAGAAACAGAACTGCTTTCAAGATAAGGGTGGGCGATTTGGCAAAAGTATAACATCACAATACTTGAAGCCATTTTCACAATTTGTATCACAATACCCTGATAAATTTGGACAAGATTTACAGAACTCTAGCAAAAATACATTCAACCTAAATAATTTAATGTCTTAAGTGTTTTATTACTCATTAAAACCCCAAAGTTTTATTACACAATTTTGTAACCTAAGAATAGCTCAACCAGTTTGCATCAAAGTCCATGTGGTTACTGAATAATAAGCCTTAGTATGTAATAAGCCTGGGATTTTTTAAGGGTTAAGTTGGAATTTTGGGTCGCAACATAACATTGAGCTTCCAAATTAAAATGCTACCCTACCCTGAAAAACAAAGCACTGGCTTTTATGCATGCTAAGAAAACAAAATGACTTTAAGTACTAGCGTTGACTAAGTGTGATTATCCCAAGCGTTGAATCAGCCAAAGTCAATCAAGTCAAATAAACAAGAATAAATAGTGTTTTTTCAAGTCTCATGGAATTTCTAGCTGCTATCACAAGATGGAAATAGAATATATCCAACCTCTCCCAATTGTTTTAAGTTAGAGGAACTTTTTTTAATGATTTCATGTATTCCAATGGGATTTTTGAACTGAATCAACGTATTGATGTTTAGTTTGTTGCTATTAGCAGCTGGAGAGGCACTGGAGATTTTATTGGCCCCTGGGTCCATCTATTTACATAATGAGCGTCTTTCCTTTTCTTTTACCTACAATCTCTACATTATCTTTCCTTTTTGGTTGATCTTCCTTCTGGGTGTACACTTACATTCTATATTTTGATTAATGGCATGGCCTTGTTATTGTTGGCTGTAAGAACATGCTACTATATTTTCTATTGCTGATTAGGTTCTAAACTAACTGGGCAATGACATAGTGACCACTTTTAAACCAACTCTAGTAAGATAAGATGGATCAACCAATACTAATCAGACATCAACGATGACTGACAAGTGGCTTCAAAGGTGATAACTGCTGCGCTGGGAAAGAGAACTGATAGAGAACTAAAGAGGTCACTAAGGTCATTTTAACCAGCTTGCTAAATTATATTAAATAATATGTACAGAAAATGTTTAATTCACCTTTATTGTTAAAAAATGTAGTATTACTGAGCCTTAATTAGCTGTTAAACTATGGTAGAGTTAATTTTCCACTGTCTCTGCTGTGAGTGTGACAGTCTATGCAGTCTATTTTCTGAGAAAATTCTAAATTCTCAGCATCTTCTGTTCAGCTGAAGTGGTGCAGATGAGATTATTATGAAAATTATGAAAATATGATATTACACAGTCCCAGGCATAGCAGAATTTCAAAGTGTCCCTGCTATAATGCTAGAAAACTTTAAAATATATGAAAATTACATGAACAAGGCTTCGGAACTCACTCGCTCACACACCTGTGGCAGTCTGGAGTTTCTCCATAAGGGGGAGCTATTAGCAAGCATGTCACCAGCAGGATCTCAGAAATACACAAGTTTGGAGGAAAAACTTGCAAAATGTAGTAGTATTTCATTTTTAACTTCATGCAAGTCAGTCAATGTTAAAAATCACATAAGCTAAAGAGGGAGACTGATAAAATCAATAATCCTGTTTTTTAACAAGGAAATTTTTCAGATTGAATTATTTTTAGATATCGCCCAGGCCTACAGGACAATGAACTGGAACATTAGCTTGATTACATGACAGAAATAACTACACCTGATATATCCAAACAATATGATCTTTCACAAGGATACTAAATAAATCTCATTTGAAATTAATAACCCACTCTAAATGTGCATATTTTGACAAACACTGAGTCAGAACTTCTTATTAGATTCAATGGGATTTTATCAGCGTTCTGTAAGGCTTGTCCAAGCTTGCAACAACTGCTATGAAGGAACACATTAGTGGGAGGAGCACAGATCAGTCAATTGGTAAAAAGAAACAAATCAGGACGATGCCATAATAGGCAGATACCTTCTTACTATGAAATTTACATGGTTACCACACACTTCTTCTTGTTCGGTTTTCTAGAAGTACTGACAATACCAGGATATACCTGGAAAAGCATCCTGTGAGGTAATTTATCATTATAACATATCGTCATGGTACCCACTCCTAGCTTGAAACTGCTATTACAGCCTGTATGCTGAAGCTCATAAAGAGGATGTTACTGCCTTATTGCAGTCAGCCAGGAGTCTGCTTTGATTGCTCTACAACAGGCCTCTAAGGACCTGTGTTTTATGACTGTGACTGGGCAAACACAGTTCAGTTGGTGGTTCAAACAGAGCATGATAGCAGAGGAGAGCAATCAAAGGCTGCTCGGTGTGGGTTAGGGTCGGGTCACCCAGAGAGCATGTATTCACATTTAAAGTCAATAGCTCCCAGCAGGCTAGAGCTTAATGAGGCACAGATGTGCTTCCTGCATAGACTGCAGGGGTGGGTGCCAAGCTTTAGCCCAGGGTGGCAGCCCAAGAGGTGGATAGCAGAAGGAGGTTCAGTGCTAATAGGCTCCCTGGTCACTCACCAGCATCAGTGCATGACTAAAAATGACCAATGTGCTCCAGTAGAGATGTTGGGTATGGGGGTGGAGAGCACCCTTCTCGCTCTTTGACCCTGAACACCTCATTATTTCTGTCCTGCCACTCTTAAAAATAAAGGTGCCAAAAAGGGTTCTTTAGAGTGATGGAATTGTTTTGGAATCGGTTCCCTAATGAACTGAGCCATGGACGGTTCCTTAAAGAACAATTTCTGTATGGGAGGTGTGAAGAACCTTTCAAAACTTTATAAAACTGTTCTTCAAGCCAAGAACCAATTAGCAGCCTTTATTTTTACAGAACCTGACAAAGTCAGAGATCAACTACCATTTTTTTTTTCATTTCCAGTCACAACAGACATTAATTTTTCAGGAGATATTTCTGAAAAGAAGATCAAATATAAGATAATCCAGAGAAATAAGTGACAAAACAACAGTTTCCGAACTTAGAATTCCAACATTTTTTAAAAGATCTGGAGAAAATGGGACTCCTAACAACTACGATGACTGCTAATGTTCTCAGAACAATGGACTGACCTCAGAGTCCAGACATCAGCATCACTGAATGTGTTTGGAATTATTTGGATTGAGAGAAGCAGAAAATGCAACCAACTTCTAAGACTGAACTTTGGAAGTGTGGAAAAATATCTTTCTTTGAAAAACTGAAAGTCAGTCTCCGGAAAAGAATGGAAGCTGTAATAAAAGCAAAGAGTGGACAACATAAATAATGAAAAATGATTTTTAAATTTAGTTGTCCAGGCTTGTGTGTATTTACCTGTTAAATATATGTTTTCTGTTTCTGCCTTACACTGAAAAATTAATACCTTGTACTTAATGACCATTTTAACCCCTTAACATTCCAGGCTTATTAAATACTAAGGTTTATTTTTCAGTAACCACAGGGACTTCAGTGGAAACTAATGGAGCAATACTTGGGTGATAGAAGTATGTAATAAAACCTTGGGCCCACTGGCAGGCCCATGGCCTGTTAAGGGGTTAACTGGAAATTACATAAATGAAGGGTGGTCGCTGACTTTTGCACACTACTGTGTGCATGTATAAGAAAAAAGCAATAAACAGTTTGCAACTTTTTTTCATATACAAGGAAAAGAAAGCATCTGATTATCTGTCAGTACCAGAAAATAATGAAGGTAGTCAAAGGAGGTACCTGACCTATAACAGAAATGAAAAGAGGGAAAAAAGCTAAAACGGAAAGAATAAAAGGAAGAAGCTTACCAGGCGTTCTGACATGGGCGTCTTGTCTCCAACAGGGAGATGTTGTTCGAGAGCCAGGACAATACAGTTGGCAATGATGGTGGCGAGGATCATGTATTCAAATGGAGTGTGTAGGTCAAGGAAAACAATGTAGTCATTTCATTGAGAAATCAAATACACAGAAGAAGTGAATGCAGCGCAAGAATCTGCATTAAAAATATCACGTATTTGGTGCATGTCTTTCAATAATAAACATTAGACAGCAGCACACCATGTGACAAAGTGTGAATATATACATTACTACTAGTCCTCAAACAGCCTCCACTCTGTAAACTATGTAAGTGCACATTTTTGTGACTTGCCACACATTTCTGATAAATCGTGTTGTGCCTCTCTATTCCTGCATGAAGAAAATATACACAGACATCTGCACATATTTGTCAGGGTCCAAGAAATCTGCTCTCATGCTGCACTTGACCGATCCATGCTCTGCTCACAAACGCATTCTTTCATGGCAGCTGCTGCGAGATTGTACAAGGTTTACAGAATGCTAGCCATTCAGCTTCAATAAAAGTTATAGCGCACAAAGTTTTTGTTAAAAGACCTAAATTCAGAAAGCGTTACTAATTTCAAATGATTCAGGAAAGATCAAATGTAGCCTTCTTTGTCGTTAGCATGGCAGCAAATTCTTACCAAGCTATGTAGTTTCAACTACCTGTAACGACACAGTCCAGCTCAGCAGTGTAGCATTTGAAACTGTAAAATCAACATAACAATAAACAAAGATTGCTACACTTTCTCATTGGTTTATATGAAGTACGTTTTTGCTAATATTCTCCAAAGCTTGTCCAATGTCGCACCAGTCGCTATAAAAGAATAATTTGCACACAGAGCACAGGTCAGTGAAGTGCTGTTTTACAGTGAACATTGAGATATTTCAAGAAAATATGTCAACTTTTCTCAGAAAAGTGTGTTTTACAAACTTTCACATCCTAACAGCCTTTTACCTCTTAAAGAACAGCATGCACAAATGGAGAGTTGCACTTTATGGATGGCTGGCCATTTCAATTCGTCCTAGCACTAAGATCCATTTTACAATTCATTTTCTGTGGTTGCCCCCTAAGGCTCAAGTCTTTATAGGACTGCAATTCACAGAGCAAACCTAAAGCTCCATTGACCACACCAGTCATGTACTTATCACCCGCAGGGTCTGCATACGCTCTGCCTCATACTTTGCAAATGGTCTGGAGACCAAGTGCTTTTAAAATGCACAACTACCTCCATCATCTATCCATCAATCTAACTGCAAACGTGTGTAGGGGAAAAATAATATAGAAATGTAGTTGAATGGGCATCTGTTGGATGGAGCTTGTAATGCAAAAAGCGAAGATATAATAAACTGCCTGACTTTTTCATTCAGTGTTCTTGGCCAGTTTTTCTCATCTCAGTCCTTGGGGGCCCTTTCAGCCAGTTTGCTCTACCATCACACCTGCAGCAGGTGTCCAGTGTTCTTGATTGCTTGGACATGTTCAGAGCTGGGTTAGAGCAAAAATGATGAACTCTCTGAGGATTCCCAAGGACTGGGCTAAAAAATGCTGCTCTTGAGCCACCAATTCCCAACTCCAGTCTTGAAAGCTCACCCATCCTGCACCAGTTTTGAGACTTCCAAGCACCTGAAGCATAAGCAACTGATTCAGACATGTTATTCTCATAAAAAATAAAGGTTCTCCGATTCCTTTATAGTAGTGGTACTATGAAGAGATACCACAGAAGAACGACTTTTGGTTCCCTAAAGCTGTGTTTCTCAAACTAGTCCTAGGATACCAATACTGTCCATATTTTTGCTCTCTCCCTATGTGTTGGGATTTGAGATCAAGCAAAAATGTGTATCGTCCGGGGGTCCAGTTCGAAAACTACTGCCCGTAAGAAAACTTTCAATAGATGGTTCTTTAAAGAACCATTGCTCCAATGAGTGGTGAAGAACCTTTTTTATGGTACAAGTTTAAAGAGCGTCCACACTAGCCTTTGGCTGATAACTGAAATTATGGAATATCATGATAATTTACATAAGCAAATTAAAATTATGCAAATTGCTGACCTTTCAGTCTCTTTAGTGTGCTACATGCTTTTGTTTTATTGTTTCACCCTTTATTTAATCATTCCTTCTGCACAATCATCCATTTTTATGGCTACTTTAAAAATATACACAATACAGAAAAGATTTAATTGTAGGCTGTTCAAATAGAACATCAACAAAGTAACTACAAATCTGCTTACATCTACTATGAACATGACTTTACAGATTTTTGATCTGGCAAAGAGTTCTGGGGTCTAAGCAAAGGAAAAAACTCCATATGCGAGATCTACTCTTCGGTAGAGAGCAAACTGTACAGGCTTTTCTAGAAGAAGGGTGGCAATGTTCTAGTTTGGCAATATTTTGGTTTACAACGAACAAACACAGAGAACGAATGGATGTTAACAGTACTGCATGTCATTTCCTGCAGAATATAGGTATCATTGTAATGATTAAGCATTTAAAACTAGCCCAATTAGCAATTATGTGGCATTTATGTTACCATCAGGGATATTGCAAGCTATAGGCTCTGTAAGGCTCTGTAACACTTATATGTAGTGCTCTGTATCTGAATTTGGATCACAATAATAATGTTTATCACGATAATTCTGCAGACGATGATCATTTGTCCAAATTACTGACCGAGCTTATTCCACGCAATGTAAAGGTTCTATACCAATTAAAGGGTTCTCCTAGAACCATCTCTTCACGAGGGCTATAAGACTGGAGCTGGGAAACGCTGGCTTCTCCTGATACTGAGATGTTTCAGCACCCTGGATAGCGCTTTTTCAGAACAAGAGGCTGAGGATCAGCATTTCAACAGGTGGTCAATAACTAAATTCTTCAATTTAGCAAACAGTGGACACCAACAACACTACAAAAAGCTGCCCGCTGCCTTCCCCTCCGGACCTAAAGAAAAACGAGGCATCAAGAGCAAACACACAAACCCAAAAACGCTTTGGACCTCAGGCTTATCTGGTCCGTTCTCCATTATGACAGCAGACTCGACACCTACTGCTAACATTTATCACGAGCAAATCCCTTTAACGGGAAGAGACTGGACGTCAAGCAGAATGACCGCACGTGCTGGAGCCTGTGTCCACCAGGGTGGACAGCTTGTCTGTTCTCAGGGGGCAAATGCTTTGCACACATTTCTCCTTGAACAACTGGATAAAAGCTCAGACAGTAGCCTAAAAGAGTGGACCAGCCAGTCTGAGTGCTGGGGAGTATGAAGAGGAACTGAATGACCACAGTCTTAATGACAATGACCACAACAGAGCAGCCTTCAGAAAATGAACTCATAAGATACATCTGAATCCCTCTGCCCTAGGGCTATTTCCTACATATCAAATCTCCTGTCATTGACGGCTAATCAGGGGTCAGTCAGTCTCCAGAGCTGAGAGGATATGGCCATTCAGTGATTCTCTTGGCGTATTTCCTGATCACGTTGTCCTCGCTGAAGATGAACAGGGAGCGGTTGACCGTGAAGCAGTTTTGCTTGGTCTGCTTGGGGTTGTACAGAGCCATTGTCCGGGCTCTCTGAGCCATCGACTGTTTGTACATCCTGGGGGCTCCAGGCGCGCCCCCGGCCCTGGCAGCCCCTCTGCCATAGCGCGCCTCATCCCCAAAGCGAGTCATCCTGGACATAGGGATGAAATCCAACAGGTCAACAGATCCGGACGGGCGTCACATCCGAGCAGCGCGAGGAGCATCACAGGGCGCGAATCTGCGACCACTTAGGGTCTCCATCAGTACAGAGTGTGCTTTTGTTCACGGAGCGGAAGAAAAAGGAAAGAAAAACGAGCGCAAAGTGCTTCTCTCTCTCCCACTCTCTCTCTCCCCCTCTCCCTTTCTCTCTCTCTCTCTCTCTCTCTCACCTCTTTCACTCACTCCACAGAGGAGAACGCAGGAAAAACCGCCAGGCGCCCTTCAGGTAGCGTCCAGCAGCCGAGCCGCATCGCTTCCGGGCAAAATGAATGACAGAAAACAAGCCGATAAAGAAACTAAAAAACGGGCTGAGAGAAAAGCGGCAGACCGGTTTTAGAGAAAAAACGAGCAGACGCGAAGATTTCCGCCGGACGCCCGGCAGGCTGTTCGTTTTTCGCACGAATAAAACGCTTAGAACAGGTTTCCGTCGGTATTTTGTAGAAACAAAACGTTTTTCATTCAGAAAAGAAGGACAAACCATTGACCCCCAACTCGCTGTCAGCTCGCGCGCTGCCAATGTGGCCAAATTGAGCAGCCGCGGCTCCTTAAGTACTTCCAGCGAGTGAAATTGGTCTGTGAGCAGCGCCCCCTGCTGGACTGAGAGCGCGCGGCAGGGGGCGGAGTGAGCGCTGGAGCTCATCGATGAGGCGCGAGCTACAGCTGATCAGTCGCTCATTTATCTTTTTGTTGTGAGTCTCTCTGCTGATGGTGGGAGTTGTCGCCGGTCAGTGCTCACATTCTGGGTTTGATTTCGTGAAGAGGAGAGAGAGGCGCCACTGAGAGAGGCGTGAGGAGAAAAGCCATCTCACTGAAAAAGGAAATAAATGGCAAAAAGTAATGTTGGGGAGTTAAAGGGGAAGTTCACCTGTTTTTTAAAAAAAATCTGCATAATTTAACTGTAAAGATGTAAACACGGCCATTTAGAGTGGTCTGATCTAAAACATACTGATTTAGATTTTCTGTACAATGGTAGTGGTAGGAACCAGGGGTCAGGACGCAAGTATTGCCATAAATGATCAGTGAAGCAGTTTTTGTACAGTGCTAATAATGGTAAAATAGTGGTATGTCTGAAAAAGTAAGTTTTTATTGGGGATTGTTTTGCCTTATAATGCCCTGCATGTACCTCCCTGCCACAAATGGATTTAAAAAAATTGCATTGTGTTCAAAAAATGTTTAGTTTTAGGTTATGTGTTCTCTAGCGTTTGTTTCATTTTGCTAAGGACTTTTATCATAGAGGGCAGAGATAGGAACTGCCCTGGGGGTGTGTATACATATATACACATATAGGTATATATATGTGTGTGTGTGTGTGTGTGTGTGTGTGTATGTTTGTGTGAGCTGGTTAGAGTGAGATGTTATAGAAAAATGAACAGTGTGGGTGTGGCCAACAACAGCTGGAAAATAAAGCACTATGACTTGTACAAAAGCAGTGCCTCTTCTAATAGCAATGAGCACTACAATATGTTTTGGAACAAAATCTTATCTCAGACCAATAATCATAATCATTTCATGTAAAATCTTTCTCTGAGGGAGCTTTTAGAAGTATTGAACTCTTCAGACGTTTGGTTCCTATCACCACCACTGTGAACAATTCCCACTCAATAAGTTTCCCTGGAATAGAGCATTTCACCCCAAACCACTCTGAATGACTATGTTTACTTCCTAATGGTTTATTTATGCAGACATTTTGAAAATGGAGTTGAGTTCCCCATTAAAACCTACAGTGAGTCTGTTCTTACTCTGTCAGACCAATATATGTGTGTGCGGTTCATTTGGAGATGAATGCTTTTGAGAACTTGTGATTATAATGGAAGATATATGGGGGGTTAATGTGAAAAACAACAGCATTAAAGAGCTACTCAGCTTTTACATGGACAATGTTATACTGAGTCTTATAATTAACTGAAAATGCACATATACAGCTCGCTTTTACTGGGAAATATAACATATATAACATATAGTCTGTGTGTAGCCCTGTCATTGCCATGGCCTCTAAAAGTGGGACTAAGCTGATGGACTGCTATGATGTCCTGCTTATCTCTAACTTTGTAGCCAGTAGTAAATCTGACCCCTGTATAATATTATCCCTCACTTCATAACTGCAGACACATGGATTACACATTGATAAAAGGCAGGCCAGTCCACTACATTCAGATCAGACAAGGTGGAGATTTCTGAATAGGTTTTCCTAAAAGGGCTTTGAGGCTCAAATACTAAATTCATAGACTGGTTCACTTTTCAGAAAAAGTGTAAACAGCTTGGTGTTTGCTGTTGACAAGAAAGTGGCACTGGAAAATAAGTCCTTAATCCTTAATCTTGAGCAAATAGCATTCATTCATTAGCAGTTCTTCCTCCTGAATTGTATTCAGTAGCTGTTTTTTCCTGATCTTTTATTCCCCCTAGTGGTAGAAAGAGCACACTGCAATTTCCTGGGAATAGTCAGTTGATACTCTTGACGTATAGTGACAAAGGGCAAGCTTCCCAGGCAGATTAAGTCTAGTCCTGGACTAAATTGCAGTGCCAGTGGCAAATCACCATTGCAAATTCCTCTTAGTCTAGGCTTACACTTAATGTTGGTCTGGGAAAGTGGTCCAAAGTCAAGAAAGTCAGTAAGCATTTCATAAAATTCCATGTCACCTCTACCATTAAGCTCATTTATAAATGTCCATATGCAAAGTTTTACATTTTCTTTGGTCTATATATTCTGTATAAATATGAAGAATAGTTTTTGTTCAAAACTGATCAAAACAGATGGCTAAAAAGTGAGTTTTTAACTAAATAGAACACTCATAATGAATAAAAGTATGAATATTACATGTAATAATAAAAAAAAATCCTCCAAGATGTTCATCTAAGATGTAATTATAATGTTATCAGTTTAGACCAGAACAAAGTGTGTGGCACTTGTTCTTTATCACATTACTAAATTTCTTTGGACATAAATGGGTTAAAGGGAGGTTTGGATGTGACTCTACAATGTGTTTTGTGGTTGAAATGTCTATTCATAGACCAGTGATTGACTATCAGTATCCTCCTATTGGATGCTGATGATCAGCTCTGAGAATTCTTGGAAAACTATGCATATCCCTCAACAACGTATCATCAAATAGGAGATATTTCATTGTTGTTTTAAAGCTTAAAACTGTAAAAGCTGGGGTACAGTGAGTTTACCCGCAGAGAACATGGTGAATCCATTACATGTTCACTGGTCATTAAAAAGCCTCTGTTGTTACTCTTTCTGTTCAGGGCTTTAAAGTGCTTTAGTGGATACATGGGAAAGGTGTCATAAACTAAGAGTTATGGTCTACCGTTTTGCTCGGATACTCACCCACTGGACCACAGCATGTCCTCCTCTTGGCACATTTCATGTGAGCTGATGATATCTGTGTTCGTCAGGTCAGTGGGCCTCTCCAAGTCAGTGACAGTGTCATAGTGGTCGGCCTCCGCAGTGCTCTGGAGGCCTCCATGTGTTTGATTGTTCTCAGTGACCCCAGCAGCATCTCTAAGATCTGCAACGGCTGACTTCTGTTTTTTTGCCTATCCGAAGCCTCAGCACTCCAAGCCCAGGAGCTGTACTCTGCCCCCAGCGTCAACATCCGCCACGTTCCGAATGTTGCTGAGCGGATAGCTTTGGTCACAAAACGAGCATGTGAGAAGGAGACAGGAAACTCAAAGATAGACAGATTTCAGAGAGGAAATTAACAGCAAGGCTAGACTCAAAAACCTGCATACGCAAGCTGTAAAACCTTCTTTTCAGAGGACCCAGAGGCACAAATGTAAGAGCTCTCTCGATATAAAAGTGTTAATACCTTTTTGTTATGTAGCTAAAATGTGTGAAAATGACTTCCCAATACCCAAAAAAACCTCCAAATATTGGATTTGAAACATCATTTATTGCGCTCTCAAAGTAATGCCAACGTAACGATGGAAACTTCGAGCTTTACTGTTGTACAAAGCCATAGCAAATGTATTTGTGCCAGCCTGGTACCTACTTGGGATCTTTTTTATACAAAAATGAGCCATACAGTGTTGTGACAAAGTATTTGCTGATTTCTTGATTTCTTCTACTGTTGCATATTTATCTTAATTGTTTCAGATATGCAGACAGAGTTTAATATATTGTCGCTGTCCAATGAAAAACGTACCTCCATTTTTTGTGATTTTTACTTTTCTGCACCATTTGAACTCAGCAGCTGTCCTTTACATTGTGTGAAAATTTCATGATGATTGGACCAATAGGAATGCTCCAAAATAATCCAGAATAAAATCTCTTTCAAATAACTTACATTGAAAGGTAAGAGTGTTTTTGCCCTCTCCTGTGAAGTTACTATTTTGGAGATACTTGTTTTTCTTTGGACAGTGACGATATATTACTTGACTAAACACAAAACAGTTTTTAAATGCTCATTTCATTTTATTCATTGAAAGAAAAAAGGTATCTAACACCAACTGGCCCTGTGTGAAAAAGTTATTGCCCCCTAGTTACTCTGTTCACCAACTAACCAAATTTAGCTGATAATTAGAACCCATTAAACTAGACACACCAGACTTGATTACCGCCAGCCCTGTTGAATCTAAACTTCACTTAAAAAGAATCTTTCCAGCCTGGAAAGGGTTACAATGCCATTTCTAAGGACCTTGTACACCAGCGACCACAGTGAAAGCCATTACATCCAATTGGAGAAAACCTGGAACAGTGGTGAATCTTCTCAGAGGTGGTTGGACTACCAAAATTCCTCTAACAGCACATTAACAACTCATCCAGGAAGTCACAAGAGATCCCAGACGAACATCCAGAGAAACATTAGGTCAGCATTTACAATTCCACCCTTAGATAGAGACTGGGCAGCAATGGCATCCATAGTAGAGTTGCAAGGTGAAAACCACCACTAACTAAAAGGAACATAAAGAAAAAAAAATTAAAAAATGAACCTTTTTAGCCAACTGTGCCTGAACACATCAGAATTAGACCTCCATATTTAATAAGAACATCATACAGTCAAACATGGCGGCGGTAGTGTGATGGTGTGGGGATGTTTTGCTGCTTCAGGGACTGGTTGAATTGCCATAATTGACAGAAACCATCCTGCTTTCTAGCAGAAAATCCTGTGGGAGAATGTCTGATCATCGGTTTGTGATCTGTAGCTTAATTGGTTTATGCAGCAAGACAACGATCTGAAGCAAGTCCACCATAATTAAGGTTTTACAGCAGCCTAGTCAACATCCTGACCTGAACCCTGTTGAGATGCTCTGACAGGGCCGTAAACAGGCAGTTCATGGTTGAAAGCCTTACAGTGTGGCTGGATTAAGGCAAAGTGGGCCAGAAGTCCTCAACAGCAATGTAAAGGACTGATCTCCAGTTGTAAGACGCATTTGGTTGCAGATGTTGCTGCTAAAGGTGGCACAGCCAGTTATTAAGTTTAGAGGTCATGCACTTTTTCACGAGTGATGTAAATATTGCAAAACTTTTTTCCCTTCAATAAATGAAATGATCATTAAAAACTGTTTTGAGCTTCCTCATCTTGCCCTTGTCTTATACTACATTTTGCATTAGGATTTGATGCCACTGACTGTGAAAAACATGCAAAGATCGAGTAAATCGTGCGGTGAGGACTGTATGTGCATATAACATTGCGGGGCTTAAAGGTTTTGGTGCTTTGAAATAAAAAATATATAGTTAATATGGTCAAACACAACAAACTCTCCAAATAAGTAAAAAACACAAACAATCTGGTCTATTCTTGCAATAAGAAGTACCAAACGCTGCAAAGTCCTACCGTAGACCACCGTGGATCTCCTCTCCGCCCATTTGGAGTTACGCTGCAGTGTTCCTCTCATAGCTCTCTCCATTCTTCTTAATCCAATATCACTGCACGAAGAGGCTTAAGATCCAATTTCTCGGGTGTAATAGGCTCACACTCTTACGGAGTACGCTCTCAAAGTGGTCCTCCTTAATACACTTGCCACCAGAAGATCAAGATAGTTTGTCGGGCCTGTAGATTGGGCTCTGTGGAATGCGGAAAGGCAGTTTCCTGTCTCACTCATTAAAAGCCTTCATGTTCAGGCCAAACAGGCCTCAGTGCCTCAGTGGCTTCTCTCAGAATCAATTATGGATCTTATTTTTGCTCCGTAATCAGGAAGAGAACAATCATATAGTTTATAGAAAGTAAAAAGCTTGTCGGTGCAGAGTCAGACAGACTTCCTGCTTTGCCTTTCACTGGATTCTGCAGCTCTCTGTTTACTCTGCTTTGTTCATTGGAGGTAGTAAAAAATGACAAAAGCCATATCCCACATATTTGAAGTTGCTGTTGTTTAAGGAGAATATCAGAGTAAATGTAAGAAAACACTGAAGACACCTGTTTAAATCTGTAATGGTGCCTAGAAATGAACCATCAATTACAATCAATTCAAAATTTACACAAACCTCAATTCCAACAAAGTTGGGACAGTATGTGAAACGCTAATAATATTGGAAAGCAGTGATTAGTACTTTGCTTGACCTGTATTAAAACATAACCAGTACAACGTAAGTTGGAGCAGGAGCACGTTTACCACTGTGCTACATCACTTTTCCTTTTACCAACACTTAGAAATCGTTTCTGCACTGGAGACACCAACTGATCCAGTTTTGAAAGTGAATATTTTCGTGCCATTTTTCCGTTATGCAAGTCTTCAGCTGTGCAACTGTACAGAGTCTTTGTCATTATATTTTTTACTTCATAACGCACCATGTATTTCCAGTGTTTCTCCAAAATGTGTACATGTTTCAGCTTTAATGGGGCCTTCACAGATGTGCAAGCTACCCATCCCATGGACACTAATACACACCTCTACCAGACAGAAGACAGAACCTGGCTTGTGAACTTCACGCTGGTGACAATTTCAATGTTCCTTTACTTCTTTGGCCCTGAAAAAAACCTGAAAAGTTCTTGTCAGACCACAATGAAGTTTCCACTGTGCATCAGTCCATTCCAGATGAGCTTGAGCCCAGAAGTCGGCGGCGTTTCTGGATGCTGTTGTACGGCTTCCACTGTGTGGAATGCAACGACAAACACTGAGCCTCATTCACCAACCATTCTTGAGAAGAAATTTCTTCTAAAGACCCACTTACACAGTTTTCACAAAGATTCTGACATTCACCAGTGTTTTCTTATTTGGGATTTGTTCTCAGGTAAGAACAGAATGTACCAGACTCAAGAGCACAAAGGTGTGGACAGTTCTGCGGTTAAATAACACATCATGAAACTGAGTTAGTACATTTCTCAAGAACAAAATTAGGAAAAAACTTGGTAGATATTGGTGAATGAGGCCCAGTGGTTACTGACAAAGGTTTATGAAAGCATTCCCGAGCCCATGTGTTGATAATCATCACAGAAGCATGCTGGTTTTTAACGTATTGATGTCTGGAGGATCGATGGTCACGGCATTCAGTTGTGATCATCAGCCTTGTCCTTCTCCAGATTCTCTGAATCTTTCGATATTATGAAATACCTGAAATCCTTGCAATCACTTGAGGTGCAATCGCTTGTAGTATTATTCACTGATGCATGAGTTGGTGAGCCTGGACCCATTCTTGCTCATAAAAGACTAGGTCTTTCCTGGATGCTCCTTTTATACCCAAGCATGATTGCATCAGCTTGCACTGTCTGCAGTCTTAAAATGCCTCTGTCAACTTTGTTGGAACATGTGCAGGCATCCATTGTAGAAAAAGCACATGCGTAAAGGTTTAAATACCCTGTTTTTGTTTAAATACAGGTTAAACAACTGCTTTCTGTTTTATTTGCATTTTACATACTGTCCTAACTTTTTTGGTATTGAGATTTGTACTTAATCTCCAAAAATAAACCCTGGAACTAAAAGCTAATACAACCAAAACAAACGTTGACTTATGAGTAGCGTGACACGCTAGACAAAGATATACGTGCTGAGGCAACTTACTTGTCCCATAAAAAGAAGGTATTATCTTTTATTAGAAGCAAATTTATTGAAGGAAAAATCATAAAGAAAAGAAACCAGCTGGATGCACTGGAGCATCATGCCTCACCTTTGAGAATTATGTAACAGTTCCCCCCCCCTGCATCTTGCAGTGTTTTGGATGTACATGTCAGAATCAGCACAAAGAACGTGACTATACTATCAACATTTTAAAAGACATAATAGCTTCATTGTCAACATTGACTCATGAAACAAAAGTGATTCAGGCTAAGGATGTCAACTACAGTTAGAAAACCAGAGGTAAATGTTAAGTGTAAAAATGAAGGAAAAAAGCAACACTTGCTTCTTCATCTTATTTTACAACTTGTATTCTCATAGTGAATAATAGAAAAATAAAAACATAAAACAAAACCATTTTTTCAGCACCATTTGCAGTATCCTGTTGTCCAGCTACAAATCCTTTAAGCAAAACTCCTGTAATTACACTTTTCAGGGTCTTTCAAGCAAACCATTAAAGTCTTGCCATGATAATCAAGAGAAATGAAAACAGATTGTTGCTGCTGAGAGAAAACATTCAATATGGCAAACGTTTCAGGACAGAAAGGAAAAGCCGTGGAAACCACCAATGTGTTTACAGTCGTCCACTCATAGAGGACAAGACGGGGACAGTCATCATTTCAATTTGTGAGAGCTTCTCTCATGACACCAGCGAAATGAATAACAAAACAGTTTACAATTTTTACAAAATGCATTTACGTTTAGTCAAATTTGTCAAAGCCAGTAACATGCAGTAGAAAACTCAAAAATGGGCAGTTTATCCCCCCCTGTAGGTCCGTGTAGAGTTAGGAGAAAACACCCAGCAGATGGGAACCGATCGACAAAGAACATTTGCAAATAACTAATGCCCAGCAGCTATGAGAATTTAACTACATGAACAGAGGCTCACCATCTTTTTAAATGAGCCAACAGTAATCACATGAGCTTAGTGTGGTCCACTCCTGAAGCAGTAAGACTCTGATGGGGACACAACTGTATTGAGTAGCACATAAAGACCATTTCAAGATAACAGACGACCATCACAGAACCTGCTTATGCTGTAAAGTCATTAAAAATGCATTTATTCGAAGGGATATAAAAAAAAAAACCCTAATTGATTTTCAAAATATTCTGCTAACAATTTGATTTGGAATTTCAAAAGTTTGCTTCATCATAAACGCCTGGAAAATGAAGTTCTTGACAAATGTAGGTGTGCCGTGAGGGAACGCATGTCGGATCTTTCAAAAAGGTTGCCGTGAAAAGGTAAACACATCGTGGTCTTTGAATTGTGCGTGGACACTGGCTGCTGGAAACAGAAGGTAATGTTAAAAAGTGACAGGAGCGTCTACGTGCTCCGAAAGGATAGAGAGAGAGAGATGCATAATCCTGCAGGGCCTCTAGCACAGCTTAGTCCATCCGAGAGCCAATATGCTACAGCCTCACAGTCATCGCAACAGGAAAATGAATTCCATCCTAACAAGAATGAGAATTAAATGCTTACAAGCCAGTCTGTCTGTCTGTCTGTTTCCTCCTGTACCGAATGGGCACATATTCTCTGTATATGTGCGTAACCATTCATCCGCAAGTCAAACAGCGAGTTAAACCAAAAGGCCAGAACACGGTGCAGTGGCCAAAGAGACCAGTGGTCCAGGCTGGCTCTCTGCTGGAATCCCGTCTAAGGTGCGGGCCCTGCTGAGTCGTGTCTGTGCTGGTGATGGCGGTGATGGTACAGTAGGCTGGTAGAGGGAGCAGGACGGCCAGTAGATGGAGGACATAGGAAAGGGGAGAGCGGGGCTCAGCTGGGGCTGGGTGGTGTGGTGGATGAGCTTGTATCTGGCAGAGCGCTGGCCTGCTGCTCTCCTGGTGTGCTGTCTGCCTGCCTCTGGGCGATCGCTGCTGCCGAGTGCTTACACTGAGACGAGCCACACTGGCAGCTGAACAGCTTCCCTTTCACATCCCAGAAGTGATCACCATAATCAAACCTGGAGACACAGGGGAACGTAAAGACAACGAAACTGTTGTATCTGTGGTAAAAACGCACTCTCTATTCTACATCATCATATTCCATTTCATAAGTGTCTGACCAATGTGTCACATGGGCAATAATATCAGCCGATACCAGTGGAATTCCCACCAATAAAAGCACTGATGTCTCAGTCATATTAGAAAACCACATCCAGGAATATGAAGCCACAGACAAACATACCCTCAGGAGTCATTTCATTAAGAAAGGCCCTTGTCTGACCTTCATGTGGAACATTCAAAACCACATAATATACAGGGTGATTCAAAAAGATTCATCCGATTTCAAAACGATTCATTTCACTTGTAAATCATTACAGAACAATGCAGTAAATTGTAAATGGTTTAACTGAGCATAAAGTTTATTATGTAATTGTACAAGTGCTCAATATGACCTCCTCCAGCTGTACAGACAACATCAACGCGAGAGTCAAATTCATCCCACACACGATTGATCATGTCGGTGTCACTGTACTCACAGCTCTTTTAATGTGAATTCGGAGATCATCCAGTGCTGTTAGGAGTGGTGGCACATAAAGAATCCTTAACGTACCCCCCACGAAAAAAAGTCACACGGCATGAGATCTGGTGATGTTGGCGACCGTTTTTTTGGAACTGTTGGTACTAAGGACGAATGCTCTGAGCTGTTGGAGGTTCACTGCCATACTGACAGTCAGAAACTCTTCGACCCCCTCTTTCAATTGGTATGTAATTAGTTCCTAGGCGTCTATCTTTTTGAATCACCCTACCTTTATATATATATATATATATATATATATATATATATATATATAAACACAGACACACACTAAAATATATACACAATACTAAAGAATGCACTGCTAATAGTGGTGTACTATTTTAACATGCTGCTTCTGTGGGTCTGGACACAGAGATGAAGGCAAATAAGCCACGTGTCCCAGCAGGCTAACATTAAAACTTTTTGAAATCTTTCATATGCAGTATGAGCCCCCATTCAATTAGTCAGTCAAATCAGTCAGAGCCGTATTGTATGTTTAATTTTTCACCATACAAATTTATATATGTATTACTGGCTATCTGAATTTTAAATTTTTAACTTTTAAATTGGCTTCTGTGACAAAATGTTCCCATCAGTTGGGCCCTAATCCGACTCTACTCCATGTTTAACAATGATTATGTCTAATTATACTGCACTGATATGATAATACAAGCAAATGAGTTCAGAGCAGTGGCTGGCAGACTGGCGCTGCAGGTTCGTTATTCTTTTAGCGAGTAAGCTCACCCCAGCTCGTCTCCAGCACTGATGTTCTTGCTGGCGAAAAAGGCAATGTGCGGGAAGCGCAGGTCCTGATGAGAGGTGAACACTCGGCAGGGGAACAGGTTCGGCTCACAGTGGTGGTTTATGAACCGACTGATGTTTCCATAGAAACGGGCGTCAATACAGTACATATCGCCAACCTGTGATAAAAGAGTAGGTATTGGCTCATTTATACTAAAAGAATGGAGTTAAAAAAGAAATGGATGAAGACAATGAACTGATCTCAGAGACCGAGTTACTCAAGAGAATTAAGAGATAAAGGAATGACAGCCTCCTGTGGCATCAGATTGAAGCTTGACTGCTGACAGCCTCACTGGTTCTGCTGCTGTGTACCCAACACTATTACCTCAAATTAATCCTTATTACGGTAATGGCATCAGCCTGGCTCATTTAACTGCAAGGTAACATGTGATGAAGAACAGCAAATGCAGAGGCTCATGACTACTGATTATTCCATTTATTAAAACACAGTGATTGTCAAAAACCTGGAGACGCCAATGTGTTTTCTTTTTCAGTTAAAAATAACATATTAAAGACTTCTCAGGGGTCTGACTCATGAAGCAGGATTCCCTACTTAGCCAGCTAACTTTAAGCGAAGTTCAAACTAATCCTGGATTGTGAGTGTCATGACGGTGGATCACTTTTTACCAGCCTCCATCACCATGATAACCAATGCTACAGGCCTAACCTGCTCCACAGCAGGTTATGTTCAGGATTTCAGATCATAAACAGCTCTCGGTCCAATCAGGGCAAGCTTCTGACCAATAAATGCAGAGTTAGAGGAGGTGGAGCCCACTAGTCCTTTTTCTTCTCTGCATCAATTATAAAAAACATTGCTTTTCAGCAAAGGAAACAAATCATACTACATATTTTGCAGGAATAAAAAGCAATTATTATTCCAATAAGCACATACATAGTTGAGACACGGTGGTCACACATTTATGCAGCATGATTTTGTTTTTTTCGTTTAAAAATAAGCTACTCAATCATACTTTAATTTGCACATGCAGAATTCACCACAACTTGATTATCTAAACCTGGGTTAACAGAGAAAGTTCTTAAGCCCATTGTAAAAGTTAGTGTTGCATCTGCTAGCTTTTGTGAAGCTGAAACTTAGCCAGACATTGAAAATGCTTCATGAGACAGGCCTAAGGCTTTTCATGTGTAGATATTACTGAAAATAAGTAAACAATTAAAAAAAAAAAAAAAAAAAAAAACACACACATCATCAACCACCATATGTGCTGCAGTGATAGTTGCTAAGGTACAAGCGATCAAATAAGACTAGTGGCTCCTCCATGTTTACCCCCAGTTCATTTCATCAATAAAGTTCCAAGAGAAAAACTCTTGACAGCATTCATCACCAGGACAATGGGCAACAGGCTATTTATAGGTGGACAGGGCGTATGTAAGGAAACAGAGGCAGACGCAGGAGAAGGGAGAGACCAAAAACAAAACCAGAGCCAGCCCTCCTGCCCATCTCCAATGTAGCCTGCAGCAGACAGGTTCACTGCAGCCGCAGGCCTTCAGCTCTTCACCGAGACAAAGTACAGAAGTCAACATGGCATTATGGGGCAGGTATTTTTAGTGTGACACTACCTTGCTGTCCAGGCTGAAAAGGTAGGAATCATTCTCTCTGACATCTGCCTCTGCGTCTGAGATTATCTCCCCCACGTACCTGCACAGATGAGGCAGCACAAGGGACATTAGTGCGCACACAAGCAGACGAAGCACAACTGCAACTGTACCCCTGAGTCAACACCCATGTGCACTTGTAAACAAGATATGTCATTGCCTAAAGGCACACTTACAAGCAGAAGAGTAGCATTACCAGATTTAGACCATGAGAGAGAAAGAATCAGAGAGACTTACTCGCAGACAAAGGTTCCTTGAGGGATATCCTGTAATGTCCGAACGCCCCAACCCATCTTTTGAGTCCTGAACAGCTGCAGTCTGATTCTGAGAGAAGAAGTAATTCAATAAGAAACAGGGGAGAAACAAAACGCTGAGAAAACTTGGCCGTTCTGTTATAGTGAAGCGTAGTTACCGTAATCCGTTCTGAACAACGCGGTTCTTGCAGGTTCTCCAGCAGGAACAGGCATGGTTGCACTCAAAAATAAGAGGTGGCTCCTCACAACAGAACTCCGGCAGAAGACGACTCTCCTGAGATAGCCAGCGCAATGTGGTTTTAAAAATAGTGTTTCGGGCCATTCAGGTCAAGTGCTCTTGTTACAGGGATAGCTCTGCAGTTCTGGATAAGATGTTCAGCCTTACCTTGTCATACCAGCAGCGCAGGCTCAGCTGACCACACATGCAACTGGCTGAAGAGCAGTCATCTTTGCAAACGCAATACTGATTGAAAAAAAACAAACAAACAAAAAAATGCCCACTTTAGACATCATGATTCACTAAGGCTAAAAATAAGGCCAATAAGAAGCCCAGAAAGATGTTGCTTTACCTGCAAGTGAGTGATGTTTTTGTCAATATTCATGGGGGATGTGACACAGTTATCAGGGACGTATTTGTAGTCATCAGGACAAGGCTCGCTGTCTACAGCGTTTACACATGGGACAGGCACTCTCTCATAGCCCCGTGCTATGTCCCTGAAAAACAGAGAGATGAGAAAGTGACAAGTGGGCTCAAAAAAAGGGGACTCAAAAAGCATGGTGTATAAAATGGCAGTGGCCGTATTACCTGTTGAGAAGCTTCTCTTTTGAAGATCTCCGTTCACGGCTGGCGTCTCTCTGCTTCCTGCTTGCATGAAGAGTGTTCCACACCTTGGAGTTCTGGCTGCAGCACTCCATGGGTGTGTCACCCTCCCTGTTTTTCAAGTTCACATCAGCCCCCTTTGACAGAAACAACCTGGAGGGGGTGCAATAGAGTCAGGTTTGGGTCTGCAACTGAACTGGAGCAGCAATCTTCACAATGCATATCAATGGCACTACAAATTACAATTCAATGGCAGCGGTGATCTAAATTTATATATTTGTATATGTAACTACACTCTTCTTAGTGGTAAAACATAGATACATCTGAATGCAACAAAGACCAACCCTAAATCTGCAGACTCTAAGTCTTTGTCAAGTTGGACTTACGTAACGCAGTCCAGTCGATTCTCCCGCGATGCAATGTGCAGTGGGGAGTCTCCGTGGACGTTGACTGTGTTGAGGTCACATTTTGCATCCAGCAGAATCTGAGTTATGTCCACGGACCCAGAAAACGCTGCCCAGTGCAAACAGATATTCTCCTCCTGAGAAGAACAAACACCAAACCATAAAAAAAGTGATCCAAATGTCACAAATAGCCACAATTATAAAGAAGTTAATCACCTCTTTGAATATAAATCTAGTAAAGCAAAACAAGTTCACTGGAGTAAGAAGACAGTGTTAGCTCTATTTCCATGACTTGATAAGGTACTTAGCTTTGAGTTTCACTCTTTGAAATTTTAAAAACTAAGATCAAAACTTCAAACCATGTAAGCCCAAAAGGCCCACACTGACCTTGTCTCTGATGTTAGGATCAGCACCTTTAGATAGCAGCAGCTTGACTATTTCTGTGTGTTTATACTCCGTCGCCCAAATCATTGCTGTCCAGCCTCCATCATCCTGTAGACACAATTAAGAATAATTATGGCTGCCAACGGTACAACAAAGATTGTGATATAAAATGAAATGAAACAACATTTACCTGACAGTTAATATCTACAAGACCTGTAGACACCAAGTGCTCCACAATACTGAAATGCCCATTCTTAGCAGCAAGGTGGAGACATGTAGAGCCCTCTCCATCCTGAAAGGTTATAAAATTGAGAAAAAGAATGCAATGCTTTATACTCAAGTTTCATTACATTACTTTTTGCCAAACACTGACAACATTCATGTAGATGGAGGTAAAAACAATACTATTCAAAAAGGGCTCAGTGGGCTCAGTACTGTGTGCAGGGTTGCTGCATAACTTTTAAAATCTGCACAATTTAGACCTTTTTAAGACCTCAATATAGCAAAAAAATCAGTTTCCACAGCATGCACAAACTCAAATATGGCATGTAATATCTACTTTATTAAATCAATTTGTTGAAAAAGCATGAATATACGCTTTAAGACTGCATAATAATTCTTACTTTATCAGTTTTGCTATCCTCTAGCCCTTCATCAGTGGTCAGTTTCTGACCACAGGACCAGTGTTGGCTGGATAGTTTTGGTTGGTGGACTGCTCTGTTTAAATGACACATCCCTCCCCACTCCCTCGCCATCTGATACAGGTCCTTTAATAAGGAGTATCAGTTATTATTGAGCCTAATCCGATCTTTGTGTGTTCATAGATAATACAGCTGTACAATTTCTGCACAACTACTTTCCTTTTTAGTACGTCCAGAATCCGCTATGTCCTGATATTTGGCTTACTTTTTCAAAATGACAATTTTATAAGATTAATATTTACTTTTAATCCAGTTAATATGCCACAGTAAAAACTTTGATATATGCATAGAGCTTTACTCTGAAATTCTACCTCTATTGTTTTTGGACTACTTTTGTGAAGTAATCAATTTACAATGTCATGAACACACTATAATTTCACATAGCTCTGAAAAGCAGACAGTCGGTTCCAAACCAGAATGTTTCCACGATGGATTCTTTTTCAACCAGTTGCAACTCACAAAGAAAAAATGTGACTGGTGTGTGTTTGCTACATGGTTTTGGCAGAATGACACTCGTGACAAGCAGCAGAAAACAGACTAGAAAAGCCGCTTGCTCATATTTTATGTGCCTGTTAAACAAAACATTTTCCACCTCAAAGCAGCTCCAAGCTGTAGACATTTAGACCACTCTCTGTTACCTTCTGAAAACGCACCTCACTCCTGCAGGTTATCCATTTATGATGCCTCTTTTACAGTGGAATAAGCAAAAATTAAACAAAGGATCTGAACTGGATCAAGCTTATCCATTAATATATACCTGGGCATCCCTACATTTAACCCCTCTATGGTAAAAAGAAGACACTGAGTCATTTTACGACCATAAACTTTCTAAATCTATTTTAAGACTTTTTATGGATCTGCAGGAACCCCGTGTGTCTATTTTAACTGACTGGTTGGTGAGGCTCTGGTGAAGGACCTTGTGAGAAACAATGGCTCCAGCTCTCAGTAGGTAGCGCACTGTGTCCAGATGGTTATTCTCACAGGCCTCCATCAAGGGTGTGCGCTGGTCCTCATCACACATGTCCAGATTAGCACCAGCCTAAAAAGCAAACAATATTGTGAATAACCTTGGCAGCTCACACCTCCACTGGGTTAGTGTTAACACACAATAGCTGAGAAAAAAACAGCTTTAGTGAGGCATTGGTGCTCACCTGGACCAACATATGGCAGACCTCCTGATGCCCAGCCTCAGCTGCTACATGGAGGGGTGTGCGCTTACTCTGGTTCTCCATCTTAAAGTTGGGATCGATTCCATCCACTAGAGAAACAGAGAGACAGCAATTAGTGAGGAGAGCGCGAAAGGTTTGATTAGATAAATGACTCTGTTAGAGAAAGAATCTTACCTAGCATTAGTAAGACCTTCTGCAGCTCTCCCTGCTTGGCAGAGATGTACAGCTGTTTTGGATGAAAGCGAAGTTTCTTGGGCCTTAGAGAGAAAAACAAAAATGAATGAATACATTTTTGTTTAATAGTTTGAGTTCATTTGTCAATGATTTTAATAATTATTACAGCAGTGAGGGTTAATATTAAGTTATTTATAATAAACAGTGTAGACAAACACTATAAAATGCCTTCTAGTGCCTAGTTTAAGATGTTTTATTCAATATTTCAAGTTTTTTGGGAACTTCAGAAGTATCATTTTCTAAAGTAATAATATATTTACAGTAAGTTTTTGACAAGTTGTTTTGTAACATTACAAATACGAGGCATTCTGAAAGATAATTAAATTAAAAATTTCTGTTCTCAGTGTTACACAGCTTTCTGCGTCATTATGTAATGATCTACAGCTCTGTTTATCATTATGGACACATCAAAAATTCCGCCTCCCCCGCCCCCCTTACAGTTTCCTACAAATTAGTTGAAACCTATAAAGCTGTACAGTATTAACATCATAATAGAATCATTTACTATATGTATACACAACAGAATTAGTTCTACGTTGATTAAAACAGTGACTCCAAACTTCTGAATGGACATTCCAACCCTTTCAATGAAAACGCACCTCACCGCTGCAGAGCAGTGTACACTCTCATACATGTATGTGAGGTAGTTTTTTTCCTTACTTCTCTGCATCCAGGGCCAGCAGGACTGTTTCCAGAGTCTCTTTAGGGGGTCCTCCTGGGGGTCCAGCCCCCACTCCTGTTCCTGACCTGCTGGTGCCTGGGGCATCCACAGCTTCTGCAGGTCTGTGTAAGGTGCTGTCTGCTCTATTCTCTCCAGGCACAGAGAGGCGAGATGGCCTAAATAATTAACATTAACAAAAAATAAACGCAGATATTTTCATTATGTAACAAGACACATAATAACTTCTGCATACACAGCTGGCAGAGATGAACCCTGACAAAGATATGTGCTATCTTTGATAGAAGGCTCTACTTTTTTCCTAAGTCACATCATACCACTCTCTCTGTTCTGGCTCATCTGATGGCAAATCTCCCCATGTGAAGTCAAGTACTCAATAAATCTGAGTAGAATCTGAATATATGTCCAAACTAGAGATGAGCGTTCAGACTTTGACATAATTTGGACAAGTATACACAAGAGGTCATGAATGGACATCCAGCTAATGTGCTGTACAAAAGCAGCTGTATACATACCCTCCAGTGGTGGTGTCTGCCCTGCCCTCCACAGTGCCTGGCGTGCTGGGGCCCTGGCTCGGGGGTACGGTGGAGGTTGTGTCGGCCTTGGCGATAGTGACCTCCTTGGCCTTGCTGACCTCTTCTCCACAGTGTGGACAGAAGCTCTGTCCCTTCACTACTGATGCACATGATCGATGAAACCGGTGTGAGATGTTAACCTCTGGCTGGCACTCCATGAAGGTCCCCTAGAGCAAAGGTGAAAGTTTTGTAATATTTTTTAATCGACAAGAGACCAAAATTATCATGTCTTTTATTGCACTGGCATCCCTTTTGTGGGGAGGCTGAGCACTTACCGCCCTGCAGAAGTAGCCGCAGCCTGGACAGCATTGGTGTTTGATCATTCCTGTGCGATGATCTTCACACAGCACCAGCAGTTGCACCAAGTTCGATGGCCTCATCATCTCATGCTTCAGCACTGCACCCTGACACCGGCTCAGCTACACGGAAGAAGAAAATTGAAAGTTTTCCAGTTTATGCAGTGCAAACAGAAAGACTTCCTTTCATATTTGCGACACATAATCTACACATTTACCAATTCACACTAGGGCAATATGGCAATATCGACTGTTGTGGTGACAAACTGCATCAAATTATGTTAGAATGCACTTTTCAGAACACATTATGGATTCTGCCATTATTTAAAGAACGCAGGCCAACTGCATGTTTTATTACAAAGAGAGCATAATTTGTAAAGATGCACCAAAATTTCATAAAATTCTGACCGGAAAAAAATCTGCTAGCATGCAAACAACATCTGCAGCCTCAGTTTCTGAAATGGCCAAAAAAATTTACAAACAACTGCGACAAAAAAACTAAAAAAAACTAAATATCGTGAAGCATACGGTGTATCGTTAAAATGTGAAAATTAAGTACCGGGATGTTATTTTTTTTAACATATTGCCATTCCCTATTTCACACCCACATATGGACCTCAAAGTACTTAATGCAATAAATTAAGATATGTATGTTGAATGATCACAATAACGAGTTAAAGATCTAATAACCAGTTTCAAAATACATAAAATAATATGAAACAGGCTTAGTAATGTTCAATTTAGAGCATGTTTTGTCATGCTGTAGTCTGATTTTACAAAATAAACATGTCATATTTGACCTGAATTCCATCATAATGATAATGTGTTGGTTCAAGCTGAGTTAAATCTCACACCATAAAATCTTATATATATATATATATATATATATATATATATATATATATATATATATATATATATATATATATATATATATATATATATAAATAAAATAATACAAGCAGAATATTATGGAAATGGACCTTTTGTTTGTACCATAGGTTCTCACCTGTCCATCCACACTCTCTGTGGCCATGCACTTCCTGTCAGCCAAGGTGAGGATCTCTCTGCTCTTGGGTGTCTCCATACGGCAGCTACAAAGGGGAAGCTCCTGCACCATGTCTGAAGCAGCACTCTCTACTGTGTCCGACACTCCTGCACAACACAAACCAAAGGTCTCAGTTAGAAAATCTGTGCCAGTTTAATACAAAAGGTGAGCACATAATTACTTTAAGAAAATGCAAGATTCACAGACTGTTTGTGCTTAAGTGACATTCCAACACTGCCTTCAACGTCTAACAGTTGACACTACAGGAAGAGGAGAAAGTGTCCAAGTTAGAATAAACAATTTTTTGATAATTTTTAGCAAAGATATTTCTGAGGAGATTAGATATAAATGATGCCTTTGCATATGGAAGGGGGAAGTCAATGTAACATAAATGGAAAAAAAACAGTTTGACACTGGAGTTCACATAAATGATTCAAAGAGAGAAATAAGAGATACAAGAGAATGGAAACTGGGACCACTAACAATTATGCAAGACCTGTCAGACCAACGAAACTGTCAATATCAGATACTTGAAGTTTTCAGTACTTAAGGCTTTTGTCTTTGAGAGAGAGGAAGAAATCAATCCACTCTTGTGTCAGATCTGAAAAAAGTTTTTCTGTCCATCCTTCCTCTGTGCCAGTTTAATATAAAGGTGAGTACATAATTACTTGAAGAAAATGTTAGATTCACAGACCGTTTGTGCTTAAGCCACATTCCAACACTGCCTTCAACGTCTAACAGTTGACACTAGAGGAAGAGAAGGTGTCCAAGTTAGAATCCAGCTGATAACATCTGCATTGTGACTGTAGCTGGGAGAGCTATCGGCACCACTGCAGCATAAGAGAAAGCATGATGCCTCAGCCTTTCTGATCTCTTTCACAGAAAAGAAAAAGAAGAGAGCGAGGGCGACGCCTTGCAGAAATGCTTCCCTGCTCCTGTTCATCAGATGTTTGTACAGGCAGTGGCACTTTCAAGACCCTCAAGCAGACATGCAGGACCCCTGGATCAGCTAAAACCCCTGGACACCAGGTGTTCTTTATCTAAGAGGCCTTTTCAAATGTTTCGGTAGTGACCGTTACGGTAGGGACAATTTTAGCAAATTTTAAGCATGACTCAAACACACAAGCCAGTACATGAGTAGCAAGCACAGCTTTTAACTGCTGTCCACACATAAAACTAAAATATTTTTATTAAAACTAAAAAAAAGTTTCCTTAATTGCAGAAAATGTGTGTTTCGGTAGTGACAATTCTTAAGGTAACACATTGATTTTCAGACTTTGGGACACATTTACATCAAAACAATGGGATCTAACTGCTGATGTGGCCATGAGGGACAGGGATGTAGTCTCAGTTCATGCTCTAAAATGCAGGGATGCGGCTAAAATTAGCTCTGCCTAGGAACTAAAACTGTGTTTCGGTAGTGACATGAAAACTTGGGACAGCATTTTTTGAAGAGAGCTTTAATTAAAAAAAATAAATTAAAAAATAAATCTAAGCTTCAACAAAAATCAAAGATATTTAAAACAATAATTGGAAAAAAACAAAGAAATCTAAGTATTATTTTCACAATTTCAAATTTAAGGGTTAGATTTGGGACAGCCACCTCCCAATAGAAAATACCCTATAAAGGATGATTTTGTATATGTTTAGATTATTAATCTCAATTAATGTCTTGGGTTGAAATAGGTCATAATATAATCATTATACAAGCCAAAGGGTTAAGTCATTCACTCTACACTGCTGCTCTAATATCAGACACTGCTTATAACACTACATTCCGTCTAGTCACTCTAACACTTTACATTTGTAATGAAATTCAATATGTTCTGTCATCAAGCCTGGAAACTCATAACGTGAGAACAAAAGAAATTTGATTAATCGCGCAGCCCTAATGCAAAGAAAAAAAGAAGCAAACTCCAACATTCTCCTAGAGGAAGTGAGAGAACAGTATGGCCCCTAGGTTCCTTCCACCTCACAACTCACTGTTTGAGAAGCGGCGTAAACACATAACCAGTTCTGTTCCGATGTTCTGTCCCAGTGATCCTATTTTTCCTCACAGGAACCGAGGAGATGGTCAAGGCCTTTTCCACCATTACGATGTGTTTGGCAGCAACAGGCCCTTACATTTTGTCATATGAAAGTGTGGTGTTATTAATGAATCTACTTTTTGACAGCTTTCAATTCCCCTCAGTTTGCCCATTAGAAGTGGCAATGGTTTCATAGGCTGTGGACAGTGTGTACATGTTCAAATGAAGGGATAGATGGCTTTAGGAAGACTGCTAAGCTGTTATTAAGCAGCCTAATATTGAGCAATGTCTGTCCCACTGGATTCTGGGAGCTACTGCTTTAGCTTACACAAGCAAAGGCCTGCATCCAACAGCTGGCTGGCACATGCATTCTCCCTGGTTCAGATACAAGATGTCATCATTTTCCCAGTTCCTACATAGAAGATTTGTACAGCAGCAAGCTGAGCTACTGCTCATACTTTAAGAGTCAGGAATGTGAGAGTTTATATCACCAGATGCCCCTCCAACAATAATGTGAAGCAAAGAGCTTTGCCCCTTTTTAATGACTATGAGATGCTGCATCCACTGTTAAACACAGAGGTGACAGCCCTTCATCAACACATACAGCTTCTACAACTAATTGATTAGTGGGAACAGCGAACAGTGGATCCTATTTATAGCAGCAAAGCCACGGCAAACGAACAAACTTATTACAGATGTTGCTGCCATATCTAAACTGGTGCCACCTACGCTGAATGTGGACCATGGAACGGTTAGGCACGTGGAGTCAGTTCCTCAGTCAATTAGGAACACTGTCTATTCTTAGCCAGCCCACTGAGCAGCTTGACAAATGCATGGCACAGGAGCATGAGAGCGGGACATGACCATCTAAAGAAAAAGAAGCGTAGAGAATGAACTGCATAGCTATATAAGCCATTAGTTCCTGAAAACTGTTAGCAAGAAACACCACAGGAAACCAAGTTCTATAAATATGTAATACTCTGTAAAAGTGTTTGATTTGAATGGTTCTGGTGACAGACTGGGTTTTACTTTTGAACTCTCTGGTGGTGACAATTTTCATGAAAGAGAAGTCCTATTTTAACAGAAATACTTTTTTTAAAACTTCATGCTGGTGTCAGTTACACAAACCAAAGTATCACTATTACAAAAATGGCAGAACTAATCGAAAGAAAAGAACAGAGTTCAATTTGAGAGTACTCCAACTCTGACAAAAACAAGTGCACTGTCATGGATGATAACACTTGCAGGAAGCCTAACAGGGAGGAAGTCCATGAACTTAAAAGTGCATCGGAAAAGCTGATACAAAGAAGATCATATTTCAAGTGAATAAAAGCTAAGATTTCGACAGTTCAAACCAAGACAACAGCACAATGTGTTGCTCCCAAAATTGAAGACAAAATGTAGCAAACCTTGCCTAAATGTGATTTCAACCACTCAACATCTGTTGATACACCTGAACATCACAAGCATGATTAATACTTTGCTAAAGAACTTGGACTAGAAGTGTTTTTGGAGCTAAAGACGTTTCACTAACAGTGTATGGAAAATCTACACACAGGTCAAATGTTCAGTCTATAAAACTATAAAAACTAAAAACAGGTTAATACTGGCATCTGCATTTTTAGGAATTGGTATAAATTTACAAAAATCATTGTTTCCCTTGAAATCACAGTCATTGATGAATTTTGAGACAGAGAGCAATCCTTAGCTCAATACTGAAGGAAGGTATGTATTGTTTTTCTTTTTACAGTACTATGCAAAAGTCACTGAAGAGACCACTCTTCATTTCTTTAATTTCCAGTCAAAATGGCCAGATGTTTCTGAGGAGATTAGCTATAAAATGATTCACTTGCATATGGAAGGGGGAAGTCAATGTAACATAAGTGGAAAAAACAGTTTAACACTGGAGTTCAAATAAATGATTCAAAGAGAGAAATAAGAGAAACAAGAGAATAGAAACTGGGACTACTAACAATTTAACAAGACCTGTCAGACCAACGAAACTGTCAAAACCAGATACTTAAAGTTTTCAGTACTTCAGGCTTTCATCTTTGAGAGAGAGGAAGAAATCAATCCACTCGTGTCAGATCTGAAAAATATCTACAGGTGTTTCTGTTCATCCTTCCACTGTGAGAGGAAAACTCAACGCTATGGGTCTGAAAGGATGTGAAGCTGTCAAGAAGCCTCACTGAGAAACGCAAATAGACAAAAAGAAGAAAGTTTGCAAATCAAACAAAGAAGCTGCTGGTGTTCTCAGAACAATGAACTGACCACCCCAGAGTCCAGACCTCAACATCACTGAATGTGTTTGGGATTACTTGGATCTTCTAGGACTGAACTTTGGAGGGGTAGTAAAATTTCCCTGCAGGTTTCTGCTGAAACGAATGGAAGCTGTAATAAAGGCAAAAGATGCACTAATAAAATATTTGATATTACAGTTCTTAAGGCTTCTGTGTAATTTTCTGTTAAATACGTTTGCTGCTTTTTCCCAGAATGCAAAAAATAAATAACTTGTAATTGACTGCCATTTTGACCAGAAACTGAATCAAAGAACAGCAGTTGCTGACTTTTGCAGAGTACTGTACACTGATAACCTCATCAGGTTAAAGCAATGTATTGCGCAGAACTGGCATATGTTTAAAAGCTGAATTACCATGAACTACGAACGACCCACAGGGAACAGTTTGTAAGCATGGTCTGGACTTAGGCCATGATTTCACATCAAAGTTAAGATTCATAAATGACTACAATTCACTAGATTATAGTGTATGACAGATTCAAGGTCAAATCTATAAACCCAAAGTCACATCTATACACACCCACTGACATGCAGCACTCAGCTGCTGGTCAAATTCAAGCTTGTGTTTGCCACCAGGGGGCACCCTTCCTACAGAGACCACTACAGCGATGACTCATCTTGGCCAGCATGGCAACAGTTTCAACTCAATCTACCAGGCCTACCAAGGCCTTTCTTTCACCATTTCTTGAACGAAAACTCTGCACAATCGAAAATACCAAAAGACCTTTTCAAAAAATGTCCCAGATATACAGATTATGTGTCAAACAGAATGACCATTCTTCACTTCTGAATGGAACAAAACAATAATCAAGAATGTTATCAAGTAATTAAGTGCTCAAATATGACTATTCTGAAGTAAGGAAAAAAGTGGCTTGAGTCTGTGTCAAGATCATGGTCTGTACACTCACCTGTGCTCTGGGTATTCAGCAGAGCGTCCTGAGCTTTCAGGTTGAGTGCTTCTATTGGAACTTCTGTGTACTCTTTTCCTTCAGCAGGGACAGGGGCTTGGGCAGGGCTTCGAGTCTCTGAGCGAGTCTGGACATCCATACCTGAGGGGATCATCACAGAAAGAATTCAACACTACAACTGTACACCACTGTCCTAACAGAGCTCAGGGGAAGTACTGCATAACATATTTGAGATCTTTCAAATGCTGAAAGGTAACAGTTTAACAGTATAATGAGGCAAAGTTGGCTCAATGATCTCAACTGGTATCTTCACATATACTGCAGATATTACTCTACCAGAAATACCCTCCGACTTTGACTTCAACTTCTTCTTGCGTTTCCTGGTGGGCCGAAGCCAAGCGCTGTCTCCCTTGGTCTTCTTTTTCAACTTCTTCTTTAAGCTGGACTCCGAACTCTGTAGATAAGTAGATAAAACTACTTTAACACATTCCACATAAACAAAGACTTACTCTGTCTCAACTCAAAGAGGCCTAGTCCTCAACTAAAATCCATTTGAACAATAAAAAAATCAGGTATGAACTACTTTATAGCTCATGGATATGTCAATCTAAGTTTAAGAGACTCTATCATAATGTTTCAGATCAGACCTGGTAAGTTCTAAAGAAAGAATAATTTTGCAATTCCTTTGATGTGCTGCTCCTCGATCAAGGAGCTCAAGGCTGTAACTGGTGTTAATCACATTCTAGTATGTTTGTCATACTAGAACAAGAATTTATAGCTCCCAACTATTTTCATCATTTCTGTGAGCTGTAATTACGGCAATATAATTAAAGAGTATAAGGTACAGTACGATGCACAAGTCAGAGACTAATCCTAATTTATTCATTTGCAGTCATTTTCCAGCATCAGGAAAAATATAACGGAGAAAACTACACAGAAGCTCCAACAACTAAACATATTTTTTTTCAGTATTTAGTGCATCAACTCTTTGCCTTTATTAAAGTCCACATTCTTTTTAGGAGACTTGCTTTCAGTTTTTCAAAGAAATCTGCAGGGATATTTTTCAACACCTCCAAAGTTCAGTCTTAGAAGTTGGTTGCACTTTCTGCTTCTCATGATACAACTAATTCCCAATATTCAATGATGTTAAGGTCTGGACTCCTTTCAGACCCATAGCTACACATCCTTTCAGACCCATAGTATTGAGCAGTCTTCTCACAGATCGACAGAAACATCTGTCGATTTTTGTTAGATATGAAGCAAGAGTGGAGATTGTTTTTCTCCTTTTTCTCAAAAATGAAAGCTTTAAGCTCTGTTTATCTGATGGTGACTGTTCTGGTGGTCTACCAGGTCTTGCACGGTTTCTAATAGTCCCATATTCTCTGAAGCTTTTTATATTTTATTAATAATATTTTAATTTTATTAAGTATTTTTTAATACTTTCCCCTTCCTTATATGAGCAGATTATCTATATAATAACGTAGTACTCAGTTGCTGTTTTGACTGGAAATTAAATAAATAAAGGTTGGTCTCCAACTTTGTAGCAATACTGTATATAATTCATTACATCTTTAAAAAGATAAATAGATAAAGTGCACTTGAATCTGGAGTTACTCAATGTAATGCAAAGATGGTTCTCTTTTCTTTTTTTTATCATTATGGCAAAACAGGACAGAAGCCTCTGCAAGAAGGCTTTTAGATACAAGGATGTTTTATGATCTCACCAAGTCTGATTCATTTCCCTCTTCTCCACCTTCCTCTTCTGCAGACTCTTCAGACTCTTGCTCCTCTCCAAGCTGCATCATACACAAGCAACTGACAGCTTGAAATGTACTTTTAAAATGTTTGATGTATTTTGTCTAACGTTTTGTTTTGGGCATGTTTAACCAATAACCTTCCTTATGGTAACTGTTTCCAGTTCCCAACAACTGTCAGAACCCCCTCAATCATACAGCACCAAACAATCTGGGAGTGTAACGGCAAACATGTGCCTTGGGGAAATAGTATGAATGCACTTGGAGGAGTGCAATTTTGTGTATGTGAACAGATACCTACTGCAAATTTACAGGAGACAGGGAATTATATTCCCAAAAATAAAGGTGCCAAAACGGTTCTTTAGAGCAAAGCCATACACTCTTGAAAATTATGGTTCTTCAAGGGTTCTTAATTAAAGAAAATTGTTCTATATAGAACCATAAACACTTAAAGAACCCTTCGAATGATTAAGGGTTCTTTGCACCACGAAAACGTTCCTCAGATTGAAGGAGAATGTGCTGTAGATGGTTCTATGAAGAGCCTTTTGAAAAGTGTTCTATATCACACCAAAAAGGGTTCTTCTATAGTTCTATAGTACAACAGAAGATCCCTTTTTGGTGCTACATAGAATCTTTTTCAAAAAAGGTTCTATACTGAACCATATAAAACACATTCTCCATCAATCTGAAAAACCCTTTCACGAGGCAAAGAACGCTTTAATCATAGAAAGGGTTCTTTAAGTCTTCCTGGTTCTATACAGAACCATTTTTCTTTACTGAAAACCCCTTGAAGAACCATCTTTAAGTGTGTAGTATTACTCTTGGTCTCTTATGGTTCTCTAAAAAAATCTAGCTGAACCCAACTGAAAGATTATCTAGGGAACCCACATTGGTTCTTCTATGTTACTGCGCCACAGAACCCTTTACATCTCCTTAAGAGTGTAAATTATTTTTCCCCCACCTAGACATGACATTTCAGCAGGCTGGCAAGCAAATGAAATCTCAAAACCTGTGGGACTGAAGGTATTCTGCTGCCCTCCTTAGGTGCTGTGACCCTCTCTTCCACAGCCAGCTCTTCTTCATCCTCAGAATCCTCCTCCGACTCCTCTTCCTCAGAATCGTTCTCTACTCGCTCCCCGTTTACCTGTGTGGTGTCTTGTGGCTGCTGTAGAGCAACATAAGGCACAAAGGTCAATGTCTTAGTCTTACAGCCATCAGCCATTCCTAATAGGCTTCTGTTTCTGAGCTATTAGCTATTAGGGAAGGCAACGATTGACAAAACAATGCAGAAGAAAGGAAAAAACCCTGGCAGAGATAAAGACTTCACACAATCTCTTTACTGTTTCCAATCCTGATATATGGCAAAAATGTCATTTAAATATACAGTACTGTGCAAACTTCATAGACCACACTTCATTTATTTCCAGTCAAAAGTATCAAGTACAAGTAAAAGCAGAAAACATTTATTTATATTTAACAGAATATTACATAGAAGCCGCCCTGCGATGGACTGGCGACCTGTCCAGGGTGTTTCCTGCCTTCCGCCCAATGACAGCTGGGATAGGCTCCAGCACCCACCGCGACCCAGAAGGATAAGCGGTTTAGATGATGTATGTATGTATGTACATAGAAGCCTTTTCAGCTACAACTCTGTTTCCCAAAAAGTTGGGACGCAGTGCAAAATGTGCACCATATGAAAAGTTGGAACTGAGAAAGTTTACTGCTTTTTGAAAAACATTTGCCCATTTTGAATTCAATGCCAACAACACGTTCCAAAAAAGTTGGGACAGGAGCAGCAAAAGGCTGGCAAAGTTGTGTAAAGCTAAAAAAAAAACACCTGGTGGTTAATTGACAACAGGTCAGTAACATGATTAGGTATAAAAAGTGCATCCCAGAGAGGTTGAGTCTTTCAGAAGTAAAAAAGGGGAGGGGTTCACCACTCCGTGAAAGACTGCGTGGGCAAATAGTGCAACAACTCAAGAATAACATTTCTCAACATAAAATAGCAAAGAACTTGGTGATTTTATCATCTACGGTACATAATATCATTAAAAGAGTCAAAGAATCCTGAGAAATCTCTGTATACAAGGGACAGGGCCAAAAACTATATTGGCTAGCTGTGATCTTTGGGCTCTCAGGCGGCTCTGCATTAAAAACAGACACAATTTTGTAGTGGAAATCACTGCATGGGCTCTGGAAGACTTCTTAAAACCAGTGTCTGTGAACACATTTCGTCACTGCATCCACAAATGCAAGTTAAAACTCTACCATGCAAAGAAGAAACGATACAAAGACAGGAGCCAAAAACACTACTGCCTTCTCTGGGCTCAGACTCATTAAATATGAACTGAGGTGAAGTAGAAAAGTGTCCTGTGGTCCAACGAATCAAAATGTGAAATTATTTTTGGAAATCATGGACTGTCCACCTGGCTTTTTATCAGTGCACAGTCCAAAAGCCAGCATCCATGAGGATAGGAGGGTGCATTAGTGCACATGGCATGGGTGACGTGTACATCTGTGAAGGCGCCATTAACGCTGAACAAAATATACAGGCTTTGGCAATGTATGCTGCCATCCAGATGATGTCTTTTTCTGGGAAGGCTTTGCTTATTTCAGTCAGACAATGTCAAACCACATTCTGCATGTATTACAACAGCATGGGTCTATAGTAAAAGAGTCCAGGTACTGCTTGCAGTCTAGGTCTGTCACCCATTGAAAACATTTGGCACATTATGAAATGAAAAATATGAGAAAGGAGACCCTGAACTGCTGAGCAGCTGAAACCCTATTTCAAGCAAGAGCAGTAAAAACATTTCACTTTCAAAACTACAGCAGTTGGTCTCCTCAGCTCCCAAACACTTTTAGTTAGTTTTAGTTAGTTTTTCTTTTTGTTAAAAGAAGAGGTGATGAAACACAGTAGTAAACATGACCCTGTTCCAACTTTTTTGGAATGTGTTGTTGGCATCAAAATCAAAATGGGCATATATCTTTCAAAAAACAATACATTTCTCAGTTTCAGTATTTGAAATATTGGTTTCAAACTATTTTCAATTAAATACAGAGTTTACATGGTTTGTATATCATTGCATTCTATTTTTATTTACCTTCTGCACAGCGTTCCAACTTTTTAGAAATTAGGTTGTAAATATCAATATGTTGATATAATATAATCAGTTTTTATTGTGTCCATCCTTTGCCTTTATCACAGCTTCTACTCTTTTTGCGACACCTCTATTCAATTTTTCAAAGATCTACAGGGATATTTCTCCACACCTCCAAATTTCAGTCTGAGAAGTTGGTTGGATTTTCGCTTTTCAAGATCCAAGTAACGCCATATACATTTGTTCATGTTGAAGTCTGAACTTCTGAGAACACCAGCAATCTGTTTTGTCCATTCTCTTTTCTCAATAACAGCTTCCTGACAGCTACACGTCCTTTCAGACCCATAAATGTTGATTAGTCTTCTTAAAGTGGATTGATGCACAAAAGCATCAGTGGATTTTTTTTTTTTATCTGAAAAAAATGTGGATCTCTCAAAAAAGATCAAAGTCTTAAGTACCATTCTGATGGGCTACCTGGTCTTACACAGTTATTTAGAGTCCTAATTTCTTAATATTTTTGAATAATTTTTACTCCAGTTTAGGAAACTCATGATTTTCACATACTTTTCTTTGACATTCCCTTTTCTTTATGCAAGTGGATTATGTTATACCTACTCTCCTCAGAAATATCTGCTGAAACATGAATAACTTGTACTTAATGGCCATTTTGACCAGAAATTAAATATTCATCTCTGACTTTTGCACAATAAGGTATACTTTTAAAAAATAAATAAATAGACAAACACCCAAGATCTTTAAGGTTGGATCTGCCCATAGACTTGGTTTAGCACTCTAACCTGAGGACTAGGTGGAGATTTGGAGATATTCTTGAACATCTCCAGTACTGTGCGCTGCTTCAGGACTTTGGTTTTCTTCTTGGGAATGAGACTATACGTTCCCATCTTTCGCTTCTTCTTCCTCAACACGGACGCTACTGAGTAAACAAAGGTCTGCAGTGAAATATCAATACAACATCAAATGCAAACATAGCAATATAAGAGAGAAGTGGTTTAGAGTTGCTTCATTGCCCTTTTAAACATCATGGAATGCACTGAAATGCAAGAACATCTGGCCTAATTGCCAGCCTGTGTGGTTTTTTTTTTGCAAAGTAGTCCAAATTGCTTGGCCTGTTAATACTAAACCAACATTAAGACAGAAAGCACGACATACTGAAGAGGGACAAGCAGGGTTAGAGAGTGTAACCTGTGTGTGGCTTGGCTGGTGTGGCGATCGCTGCCGGTGTGGCATCAGTTTGGCTCTGAGGTAGCTGTTTTTGAGCAGGAGGAGTCTGCAGAGGCAGCCCAGTATCGGCTCCACTCACGCTCTTATCTTTCACCACACTTGGCTCTTTTGTTTCCCTGTTTAAAAGCTACAGGAAGAAAAATAAATACAGTTTAAATATGATGGCTGGAGTTTCTATCTATTTCACAGCACAAATGTGATAATTCTTAAATGGGACCACCCTTTGAGTTTGCAAAAAAAGAAAAAAATAATAATTTCACCATAACCATTCATCCTTATCAGAACATATTTTGCTTTTATTTTTAAGCCCATTCAAATGGATGTCTCACTCAATTTTATGAACTGAGCCATGTGCGTCCCACATTTTTCCACAACAGCGGAACAACTAATTACCTTTAACGGCTGATTTGAGGCCGGTCTGGACATGGTTTTTCGCGCTCTGTGTATCGTTACAGGTGGAGGGGTGTTTGACGTGGTGCCATTTTTAGTCTCTTTCTCCGAGCGCCCCTCTGCCAGGCTGGGCCCTTTGCTCATGTCAGTCCTTAGAGCAGCTTGGCCCTGGTGTTGTGATTTAACCAAAGGAGGGAGTGTTTTAGAGGCATGCCCTATGGCTGAAGTCCCCACGGGGGACCAGCTAGTCCTGTGTTGGGTAGCCGGTGTGTCCTCCTGGTGCTTACTGAGAATGTATCCATTACTGCCCACAGTGGAGCCATGAGGAGGATCAGTATCTGATAGTCCATTCTCCATGGCTTGTGATTGGGTGGGCGACCCTTGGACAGAAAGGCCCTGCTGAGCTTTCCCTGTTTCTGTGCTCTCATAGGTCCCATTTAGCTCTGCGTCTGTTTTGGCAGGTTCCATTTTCTTATTCAGACGATCCTCATCCCCACCTAGAATGTGGCACAAAACAAGATGCACATATATGCAAAATAAAATAAATTAACAAATAAGTGAAGCACTGGGTTGGTATCATAGTAAACTCATAATACTTTTTAGCCACGACTATTATAAAAGTCTAACAGTTCAATTTCATTGACAGAAATGTATGAAATGTATGAAATTCTCAATACCAGCCTCAATCATAAACTTACGCTAATCTACAGAACTATCAGAAGTCAGAGACCACCCTTTGTTTATTTAATTTCCAGTCAAATGGCCATTAAGTACAAAGTTATTCATGTTTCACTATCTGGAAAAAGTAGAAAACATACTTAACAGAAAAATTACACATAAGCCACAACAACTAGTAGTTTGTTGCATTTTCTGGTTCTCATAATCCAAATACTCCCAAACACATCCAATGATGTTGAGGTCTGGACTATGGGATGGTCAGTCCAATGTTCAGAGGAGAATAGCAGCTTCTTTGTCTGGTATGCAAATTTTTACATTTTTTTGGTGATTTTTTTCCTCAGTAAACAGCTACCCATCCTTTCAGACCTACAGCGCCGATTTGTCTTCTCACACTGGAAGGATGGACAGAAAATTCTTCAGAGCAAGAATAGAGTTTGATTTTTCTCCTCCCTCTCAAAGGTGAAAGCTTTAAGTGCTGTTTATCTGTTGTTGACAAATTTGGTGGTCTACCAAGTCTTGTACAGTCGTTAGGAGTCCACACACTTTCTAAGCCACTTATCCTTCTGGGTCGCACGGGGGGAGCTGGAGCCTGTCCCAGCGGTCATTGGGCAGAAGGCAGGATGTTAGGAGTCCCATTTTCTCTATATTTTTAACATTTTCTTTTGACATTCTCCTTCTTTACGCAAGGAGATTATCATATATCTAATGGCTTAGATCTCTCAGATCTCTCTCAGAAATCTCCTGATGTGAATAACAACTTATTAATTCATTCATTATTTAATAGCAGTTTTCACTAGAAATTAAATGAATAAAGGGTATATTCCCTGGTAGCAAACCTTTACTCAACACAGTTCAGATATCAGAAAAGGTACTTGGATCTGTGCATCCCTACAGAGAGTTGTGAGCATGAAAATCATGAAAACAAGTTACAGTAATGAGCAAAATAAAATGAGAAATTCACCTTCTTCTGTATCTTTGCGAGAGTCCTTCATGCCATCAGCTTTCATGGATTCTCTCTTCCCCACAATCCCCCCGGCCAAACCAGCAGGCTGAAACACAGGCATCATTAGATTACAAATGGAGCAAGAAGGCACATAATCTAGCCCAAAGAGAGAGCATGGGACTTATTTTAGTTTATTTTAAGAAAGAAAGAAAAAAAATAAATAAATCAAAAGAACAATTTTGGAACAAATCAGAAGTCCTGTTATGTCTCAAGGGCCAGATAACTGACTTAAATATTAACTCGCAATTTCAAAAGAAGATGTCATAAGCAGCCCTTTTTGTTGAGAAACAGTCTAAACCACAGCCGACCACGCTGCCCACTGGCTTCTTATATACATTTCAAATCAGCCCACTTTACGAGATCGACAAAGGGGGAAAAAACATTGAGTCGTTATCTCATCTCTTCGGGAATGCGTCTCAACACCTCAACAACAAAGGCTCTGACTGGCTGGCAGAGCCTTCATCAGAACAGTGCATCTCTCCATAGCTAGGCAAAGAAGAGATCTACCCGATGGATGTGGATGCTTTTTTTAGCGCCTAACCTAATTTATCCAGCGTGTCTTAATTTCATATCACATTTATCCTACACAGCAATAAAGAAAGAGGTTTAATGGGAAGATCAGCTGTGCCTCTGTTGTTCACTAAGCTCTGAGTATGTCTACCCAAGTATGAAAAAAAGGAAACCAGACACAAGGTGCTAAAACGACGAACAGAACGAGAAGTGCACAAATAAGCACACCATTAATCTCTCTCATCACCATTCCTCCCTCTCAATCTCTCCTTCCTTCACTCACTCTCTTTTGTTTGGTTGCGCCTGGCTGTTGTGTTGTATGATTCTACTTGGCTACTGGCCCAGTTACAGTAGACAGCCCAAGCTGCTCAGCCAGTCCTGCAGTAAGGAAGTGCTCCATCTCCATGGCTGATCTGGACCCTGCCCATTCTGTCCAAACCCTGAGAGAGGTTTCAAGGCAACTTCTCAGGATATCCCACTTTTGACAAGCAGTGTCTTCACTCTATTACAAACCAATCAAGAGACCTCAGTAGATAATTGACTTCTTCTAGCCTTCGTCATCGTGCTAAAGTACTATATGAGTATCTCTCAACAAGCCAAAACACAGACAAATGGACACAGACGATGTCCTGTTGGTAACCAATGGCACTGAACTAGTTCTCCGTCTCTCCTGCTCTAGGCAGGCTGAACAACTCTGAACAGAAGACCTCCACTTTAACTAGCTAGGTACTGAATGAATCATTCGGCACAGGCAGTCCACTCAACGCACAGCAGGGCAAGTTCCCTATGTGCGGACTGTCAGAATGACATCTTTGTACCAGAAAACTCTCTCTGAAGTCATCCATCCATCCATCCATCCAGAACGACTTAGCAAAGAGGGAATTTGTGGTCACTGCAACAGAAACAAACAGGTTTATCATACTCATTAGGGGTTTTCCCATTCCACGTCTATAATTAGCAAATATTTAAAAGGAAAGCACAGATTAACTACCAAGTAAGTGAAGAGATGAACTGATTTCTTCTGAAAAGGACAGAAACAGAAGAGCCAACTGCAGTCAACTGGTGTTGTGCATCTGCTCGTAGGAAGTACATAAGACTCTCACTCACTTGGCAGCCTTCAACATCTACTGTAGAGATTTTCAGCAGCCAGGCTCAAAGGAAGGAGGTCAGAAGGTGTAGTAATTACAGCAAAATCCAGGCTCTTCCCCTGCTGCCCCTCCCCCACTCCAGCCTAGCTCCCCAGCTCTCATCTGATTGGCAGCCACACCAGCTGCCTTCCGCAGGACAGTCAGAAAATGTCTGCCGTTCGTTGGAGCCGCTTTCAACAAAGGTCGGTCCCTCTTTCTGTTTCCCTCTCTCACCACCAGGGGAGCCACTTCATAATAAGAGTCCCCCATTACCTAACCAACCTAGACAGGTTCTGATCCACCAAAACCAAAATGACATTCAGAGACCCTTTCCTAACTCAGGCTGTGCCACTGGTGACTCCAATGAGGTCCTCTGTCAGTCAACACAAAGGGGTTTCCATCGTGGCCTCCCCTCCAGGTCACAGTTATCCACACTCTGAAAGCACCATTTCTTTCCAGACAGCCTAATCTTCTTTAGCCCACAATCATCCATCTCTGTTTCTCTTTATTTTTCAAGAGCGGAGCACTTTCAGTTGTTATTGTCATTACACACACTTTCAGACAAAACAGTTAAAGAAATACCAAGACCTGAAAATAACACTGATGCACAACGTCATGTACTACGTCCAGCAGCAAAACCCCGCATTCAGTGACATGAAACAGAAGCGAAAAGATTTCAGAGGAGGCAGACAGATGTCAAAAAAGGGTACTAAGTGTTTCCTGTCTTGACAGAGATATTTAAATTAGGCTATTTCGTAAAAGATTAACATACATCTACAGCAAAGATACATCGCATTTAGCAGAGGAACAAGACAGAGGCGAGAGGGAACAGTAATGTCAATATAGAGTGACTCACTACTTCACTTTCCTAAAGCAGTGACATATGGAAGACACATTAATATATGCAATCAGACGTCTAAACAAACAGCAGCCGTGGGGGTGGCATCAACAAGCAGTGAGCAGACCAGAGCAGAAGCTGACAAAGGCTGTCCTTCATACCTTCAAAGCACTGGTAACTGGACAGGCTACTCTGTCTGGGAAACCAATTCAGACACACAGAGCTTAAGATGAGAGGAACTTGAGCGGAACCTGAAGGCTGATTTGAGATCACTGTCTTCCAGCAAGTGGCAGCACCTCCATGCTGCAGTAGGGCTATGTGGGCTAACACAGAGGTTTGCTCTCTCCTGACCAACAGCCAATGCTACTGCAACCTTATCCATTGGCATTTCCAGCATGACAGGCTGAAGCCTTTTCAAACCTGCATTTAACTGCACATATAGACATTCCTTTCTTTGAATGAACAACATCCAAATCCAAGTTACATAAATTTAGGTCTCTCAAGTCTGTCTGAAGGGAAAAGCCTGAACACACTGTGACACATTTTGGCCCCACAACGTACACATGAAACAGACAACTGACAACTATGGACCCTACGGAAACCGTTGTGGCCACATGAAACCGATTTCACTATGGCCTAAATAGCAGCCTGCCCAGAATACTACCTATACATAAAGTTGCATTGGTTTAAGGAAAGAAAAAGCTCTGCTCTGTTAAATATGAGAAGACCATTAACTGCAAATAGTGCTGTTCTCTTTCCCAAGCCCTCCCCCTAGAGGCGAAAGAGAGAGCAAGCCCAGTAAAGAAAGGGAGGGAGAGGGAAGGGCCTTCTGCTCCCAACCGCCATTTCGTAACCAGATTGTTTACTGACACAACCGGACAGACAGTGAATTTTTCTGTGTGGCAGGGGGCGTTCGGGTAGGATCCGTGTGGGTGGGGGATGGAAAGCTAACATCTATCAATTCTGATAACCTCATCCAAACGTTCCCCCAGTGTGAGACTTTAGTAAAGAAAAACAAAAGGGGCTTAAATAAATTAGCTAGAAAAACTAGCCTAATTAACACTGCCATTCAAAATAGGTCAGAAATTACACCAAATGCTAAATTACTTAACATGTCTGTCTAATATTAGAGTGCTGCCTTACCCAATGGTGAACTGTGAATTTGCCAAGCTGTTGCTCCCAATAATATATGCCATTTGAAAGCATAAGTTGAAACAGCTTACTGGGGAAACACAGGCCATTTCTCACACATTACCAATTTATTTGCCACTCCTCAAGGAAAAGTTAGGTTTTTCCTTTTTGAACTTACATGAATCATCATCTATTTGTTTCATAACCTTTTATATATATAAAAAACAAAGTAAACTGCTAAACTTGGCCTACTGTTCCTTTTGAGTATTCCTGAAGTTGACAATGTATTATTCTTATACAGTAAATCAATGATACTGAAGGGTGTCCATGGCACAGGTGTCATCAGAATACAGGGAGCTTCCTTATACCAAGTGTTGGAAATCTGAATACAAGCTTGGCTATAGATCTTTAACTATCTTAACAGATATTTGAGAATAAATCAAAAGGATTACACCAGCATAGCAAGGTTATCACACTGACCACATGCTGTGGCAGAGTTAGCCACACACAAGACAGAACTTGGCTGTTGAGAAAGTTCACACCAAAATGTTGAAGGCATCTAAAAAGGAATGCAAAATAAGAGAAAGAAGGAACGAACACTTACTCTTATTATTTAAAATGATCAGTTCTTCTATCACAATGACAGCCAAAACAGCCAAGACTAATTCATTGAAATGTATCTTCATTAAAACACTTAAAATCATCAAGCACATTTCAAAAGACTGACAAAAATGCAATGATTTATAGCAAGACCAAAAGAATGTGCTCACAAGGAAGCCACTGACTAAAAAAAACTCTTTTCAGGCCACTCAAAGTGAAACTGACACATCACAGAAATCTATACACTGGATATGGCCAGACAAAGCACTGAGTGGTAGATTCATGAACAGAAACACACTATAAATAAACATCAACACCAACCTTGTCCCTAAAAGTCACATATTAGTTCAAGATTATTCAACAGTTGTTAAAAACACTTATTAGAGAGAACAGAGAAAAGGTCTTCAGTAGAGGCCCAGAATAACCTTCAATGAGATCCATGACTCAGAGCACTATAGGTGCTGCATTCTTTCTCTCATTTGCTTGGCTTCTTCAACAATCAAGATAACACTGAGCAGGGTAATCAAGCTAGTTACTGAACCTGTTTTTTGATAAGGCAAAGCCCGTGCTAGTAATGTAAAAAAAAAATGCATCTCCAATAGTACTATGCTAAAATTCTTTCATTTTCAGTACCTGACTCTTACCCAACTCTTCTTTTAGGCCTGGCCAGCTCAACAGGCCCAAACCTGTAAAATCCCTTGTCTTCCTGCAAACTACATTGCATTTTTACATTTCTCTCCACTTTACAAACACTCATGTGGCAATCTCAAGCCATAGGATTAACCCTAGAAGTAAACAAGGAAATCTATTCAAATTATCAGACAGTGTTTGCCACTGAAACACAGTAGATGAGACCAGTCCTCTTCTCTGCTTCCAGTTTTTCCACAGTACCTAACACATGAAGCACCCTTTAAACCAGAAAGTGACAACAATCTCCCTCTGCAAGTTACCAAGCCTACAACATTTAGTCCATGTCGCTTGACTTCACCTCCGTGCAAGAAGCAAAAGGCCAAAAGACTCTGGCAATGGGTTCTGCTTCAGTCCATAGAGCTTGATTACAGGCTTCAGCCCAGACCACTGCCTGACTGAATCTGAAGGCTGGATACCACCTCTTGGTCACAAGAGAGCTCCGTTCTCTTAACATGAGAACAGCAGCCAACTCTCAATGGACTGAAAGTGAATGGAGGGATAAAAGGCAGATGAACACAGCAAGTGAATAAGCTCCAAATGATGAATATTCACAGCCAGTATGGATGGAGGATTGAGGGGCCATTCCTCTCCTAAAGGTACTCTTCTAGCAGCATCATACCTGCTTTCTCCCGATGGCCTCCATTGAGGGAGAGCGAGAGAGCTTCGAGCAGATTGTTCTTCTTTTTCCTCCTCCTGCATGCAGACATTCACCCGGCTTGCTGGTCACGTGACCTAGCAGCTCCCTCTGTTGGTCGGCTTTGCTAAAGCTCAAACAGAGCATGCTCAGTCAGTTCAAATTTCAAACGTTTCCTTCTTCTTAAAGGAGGGCACCAATGAAAGCAAGAAGCCATCTCAAAAAAATACAAAATAAAATAAGAAAAGGTACGAGGAGGCCAAAAGGAACATCAGCCAGAGGGCCTTTTTGCCACAACAGCAGGACCAAGAGCGTGAGCTATCCTTAATCTCCTCACATCTACATCAGAGGTCTTTATCTGCGCTGAGCCTGAGAAGGGCAGGACTGTCACAAAGAGACAAGGCCAAGACAAGCCAGCCCCAACAAAATGGTACAATGTTTACAATGAAACCTCTGAGGTACAGAAAAAGGGGAACAAGTCCAAGCCTTTTGCATCTAGGAGTCATTTTGGATCTCTGGCCAGGCATTATTAGCAGATGAAGAACAAGCACTATTTTCTGTAAGGATTGCTACAAATGTGTTAAACTGAAAGTGTAAATTCATGGCTAACTGATCAATCATTAACCAACAAAAACTGAGGCTATTATTCAAAGTAGGGCAAAGCAGCTTAGTGCTCAAGTGAAAGGAAAAAGTATGCTTCTGCTACAAAGCAATCTGAGTAGAAGCTGTTCTATCACTTCACATCAATATTCTCACTGGTTTACGGAAGCACTGTCTTCCAAACTGGCCAAATTAACCTTCTTTCAAAGATTACAACAGGTTTAGATAGCCATTACCAAATTAAGAAACACCAAGAACTAGAGGCCAGGGCAATTTCTCACAATACACTGCCATCTTACAGGGGCAACATGCATGCCTTCTCTACAGATCCTGTTATTTTTCAGAGCTTAAAGGTGTCTGGGCTACAGAACAATGTCACAATGCATCATTCTGCTCAAGCCTACACAGCTGACATGAGGCTCTGCTAGATGACTAAGCTAACCAATGGAGCATGCTCAGCAGAGTTCCTGTTAGCCATTTTGAATCCTCCTCAGACTCATGAAAGGTCCTCATGAGGTCTGGATTACCTCATTTAGAACCTCTGACCAAATCATGTTTCTCCAAACAGAACAGCAGAGGAGGTTTCTTCCATTTTGGCTACAAGCTCTTGCGCTAGACTGCTTTTACAGTGAGAGAAGACAAGGAGAGAGTGAGAGAGGCAGATAGAGAGAGGGAAAGAGCAGTGAAGAGCGCACAGAAAGGAAAGAAAGCAGGCATTGCGAACAGTATGCTCAAGCCATGTGCTCTTCTGCACAGCCACAACAAGCCAGAGTCATTTCCCTTACAGGAACCACAGCGAAATGTCCATGGGATGCATTAAACACATAATTTAAGAAAACGAAACCAGATCTCTCCTTGCAAACAAAAGAGCTTCCAGTGAAGTGAAGAGTGATCCAAGATCCCTATTGAGTATAAAAATGAAGGAGGCAGACTGAGCCTTAGCAAGAACAGAATGTTTTTCGGTCCTGATTAAAGCAGGGTGCGATCTGTCAGCACCAAGTTAATAATCTAGCGTCATATTAAGGCAGTAGCGTACTGTAATCTTTCAGGATAGTCTTTATCCAGCCCTTTATCACCACTGTGTAAACAACCAACAAGCTATGTTTAGAGAACCACCCATCGACACAGGGCATTGTCTCAGCTCTGAGACATTACTTGAAAATCTCAAACCATTTATTTTGGGCGACAAGTAGTGCAATATGAGGAATAATTCTGTCTTTCGGTTCACACAGATTTAAATGCCTGGCGAAGAAAAAACAATGTTCAAGGAAATGCCGTCTTTTTCCTCTCTACCTACAGAAAACATGCAGCTATTGCCGGTAAAATCTCAGGAGACATTTGCTCATCTCAGTATTGATCTTCATAGTGCCTCTGTACCCAACAGAAAGTCCTCTATGAAGACCCCTTGTCCCCAGCCTGACAGGGCCTAGGAAACAACAAGACCAGGTTTCAAGAAGAGCCAGCACAGAGTCTCTGTCCAACAACTGCCAGGAAGGCCTTCTCATCAGCTTCTGTACCAAGAGTGGACAAGCAACTGAAGTCAGCCGATGGATCGATCAAATCACCTGTAATTGAAGAGATCCAGAATGACAGAAAATGAAAAATGTTAACCTTTTCAGTGTGAAACACACACCTAGGACAGACCTTGGCCTATTTTCAGAAATCAAGTAAACAGTCTCTGCAACACCAGACATATTTATGACAATGCCTTTCCCAAAAGAGAGGCAGGAAAAATGGAGAAGCAAATAATCCTGCCTTGTTTGAGGTTGAGCCCTCCAGCAACATGGCAGTACCTGACTTAAGCTGTGGGTCTCCATTGATGGGGGAGGAGGAAGAGGGCGAGAGTAAAGCTCCACTGACTAACGTCTAGCTTTCCACACAAGCACCGTCCCTGCTCAGGGTCACATGATCAACTCTGTAGAAAGCATTGACATGGCGCTCACTGGGCATGCTCAGTTGGAGCTCTGCTGTTCTTCACGAAGAAAGAAGAGCAGGAAAAAAACAACACTGCAGCCATTTCATGGAATGGTGTGTGGATACAAGGAACAAGAGTTTCATTGCAGATTTTTGTCTAGGATTTTGTTCATGGGGGGAAAATGATACACAAATCATTTGTTGAGTTTTTTCCATGACTAAAATGAAAGCAATCCCAGCATAATAACTCTAGCTTCTTAACTGTGCTTATGACCGGGGTGGTAGAAAAATAATCAGTGCTGGCTTATAACCATTCTTCTAGGCAATCTTACAAAATCAAAGCACTCCCTCTCAAAACTGATCAGGCATTTTCAAAACAAGATCTACATTAAACTAAAAGGCTATGTAGATGGTGAAATATGATGGAGCAAGCAAACAATGTTTTTCATGTTCTCTGTATGCCAGTTCCCCATCAATAACTGCTGTTGCTGTCATGGAAAAGGGGATTTCTAAAAGGGGAAATTTTCTTAAAACATTTCTTAGTATTTAAACGTGCTGTGTATCTGTCTCAAAACACTCAGCCCAGTGGGAATCAGTGAAAGAGAATTCAGTAAAGAGGAATTTAACTTTCTGGAGAAACATTCACAAATTCCTGTTAACTGTTACCACTAAATCTCCCCATCTCATTATGGTCCAAGTCAGTCTACGAGAGCACAGAGGAACTGGCCTAGTTTTTTGTCTCTTCGATTGTAAAGACATTCAAATGATGCAGCAGTAATCTTCATAACGTTGATAATGTACCTGACAATAAAGCCGTAGAAATTTTTGCAACTGTTGTCAGGCTTGGGATAAGATGTGGCCAATATATTAGTCACTG